TATCTACTTTAGCCTGTTCCAATTTTGCTTCATATTCCAACTTTACCTTTTCTATCTCTATTCTAGCTTGCTCATTAGCCTCAATCCTAACTTTCTCTATATCTAATTCCTGTTTAGCTATTTCACATTTATAGGCCCTACTAGCTGTCTCCTCTACTAGTTTCATTTGCCTAGTTACCCAGTTCTCTAAATCTTCACCCTTATATTCCAGACTCTGTCCTAACTTATACATTTTCCTAATTTCTTCTGTGTCCATTCTAGATCCAACAAAAAGTATCCACCAATAGATTCAAATCAATCTAGATCTAAGCCCTAGATTCACCTGTTTAAGAAGTGACTTATCACCTTCTTACACACAACAGTACTCTTATTTAATATTGATATGACACAATATATGACCCTTCAACTTATAATATGTAGATCTACTGGCTAGATCACCATTAAATTAATTAAACTGTGATTACCAACAGAATCCAGATCTAGATCCAATTCCTAACGTATACAATTAGGCCTATACAACTAATATATAAATAATATATATGATAGCTGAAACAACAATGTGGTAAAACAAACCACAGATGTACTCTAAATAGTTAGAAAATGGTGGCACTTATCTTAAAAAACGAATTCACACAGATCCAGGTCCCGACACACAGATCCCCTTGCAGCAGTCTTGCTTGTACAACACGTCTTGAAGCTTGAAACACAGATACCCTTGACTTTGACTTGTCCAATACGTCCCGGCACACAACACAGATCCCCTTGATTAGTTCAGTAAGTCCAGACACACAGATCCTTCTCGTTGTCTTCCACAAATGAGGTACTTCACGTTGATACTTTTAAAAATAAAAGATGACGCCAAATAAAGTATGGTTTACAGTACTTCCGGTGGATTCTGGAACTGTGTTACAGGCTTTGCCATTGTTTTACTGTTTTTTACTGCTATACCATTCTGGATTAATAACCGACGCTAGTTTTACCCTAGCTAGATCTAGTAGTTAATAATGAGTACCTAGTACTAGATCTAGTTATCTAGTAGTAGCCTACCTACTACCTAGCCTATACCTAACCTTTCTAGAATCTATACTCAATACTCAGTATACTAGCCTAACTTTTAAATTTTCAGGTGTTGAGAAATATAAAAAAAATGGGAGGCCACCACCGAGTTGATGAGAATCCTTCCAATACTTTCATCAATATCTAAATCATATTGAAACATATTGTTTACTAACTTTACTAAGTTAGTAAGTTTACATTTTACATCGATAAAATTCGTTTTTAAAAAAATATTTTGACTTCATAGCGGCCATAAAAATAATAAAAAATAAAAACTTAGGCCCCTAAGCCTAAAAGTTGTAAAAATAATTCTGAAATTTAGGCCTAATATTTAAAATTTTTTTTTTAGAATCAATTATTATTCAGTCTTATAAAATAAACGTTGCAAATCCAGAGGACTTGAAAATAATTTTTTTTCTATTTATTTTTATCAAGTTATAACCCGATGTTTCACTTTTGTAAGACAAACTTTGATTGGCTGTACAGGAACTCCGTGACCGATAGTTAGGCCCCTATTTATTTATAAAACTTTGCAGATAAAGTTTTTAAATACCATCTATAATAATAGTTTCGCTGTCTGTGTATCTATCTGTGTATGTATCTATCTGACAAGAACGCTCTAGAGAAAACACAAGCAATTTAAAAACTTTCACAGTGAAACGAAAACGAAATATGACGTCATATTGAGCATAGAGCAGAAAATAATATCAAGCCGGAGAGTGCACACAGTAATATGACGTCATTGATTCTCGAGTAAACATTGTCTAATCTAGGTGGTTTGCGTGAAGAGTTTCATTCATACAATTCTTCGGGTAGGGGCGAAGCCCATCCCCCGCGTAAGAACGTCTGAGCCCCCCCCCCCCCCTCCCCAACTCAAAAGAAATTTCATCGATACTCTATAATAAAATTACCGTCTTATTAATGTGTCTAATCTAAAAAGTGGTTTCTTTCATGCAATTCTTCGGGTAGTGGCTAAGTGCGACACCAGGGTCTCTTTCAGACTTTTTCCTAATCTAAAAAGTGTTTAGCAGGCAGTTGTTTTTTCTTCAAGCATCTCTTCCGGTAGGGGCGAAGCCCCGCCCAGGTTCTTCCTTTAGTTTGTATGATCTACAAATGCGACCAGTGTTTCTTTCAGACTTTTTTCCTCCCCGGCGAGGGGTGGGGGTACTTGAAATTTTCGGGGGCGGGGGTAGAATTTTCTGGGAACGGGTGGACACTGGATAAAGTATATAATTATATTTCGTTGAATGGGACGGTAGACATGTTTTGGGGTGTGTGTGTGTGTGGGGGGGGGGGGTGCTTTTAGTTAAGAGAAAATAGACAGCACTATCAACCTATCGCCCGTTGTATCCTTCCTCAACGGGCCATTTTTCTCGTAAAAAAATAATGCTACATTATAATAGCCACAGCCGCTAATGGGACCCTTGTCTTGATAGCTTTGGCTGGTATTCGGACCAGGCAATAAATTTGTTAAGATTTAGTGACACAACTTTTAAGATGTAGAATATATCTTTTCTATTGTGATTTTTTCTTGTAATTCCATATGATATTTAAAAATCTTGCTTAATTGTGCTTAATTAATTGTTTTTCCCCTTTTCTTCAGTTAAACATAATTTGATTTAAAAAACAAAAAAATTGTATAAAATAGCTAAATGTAGGCTATTACTTCCAGGTCCATTTTCTTGAACACTAATATCTTGCATACATGATAGTACGCTATAATTGAAGGTTAAATATAATTTATACTCTCACACTGACCCCAAATACATTTTTCATCTTGCTTGGTTTGGAGGACAAATAAAAGTGACATCATCAGCAATCTCAAATAGCAATGGTCTTGCTATGATGTATGTTATACGCCTACACTACTGATATCTAAACCAAAGTGAACTCACAGTAACCCTAGACCTTGTCAGTATTTTTTCTCTCGCTGACAAGAAAATTTGAACGGACGATTATAGAAGCAACGACGTTTAGAATTGGCATATTTAAAAACTTAAATATAGAAAAGCTTTCACCTTTTTTTTTTATTACCAAAAATACTAAAACGTCAATACATCCACTCAATTTTAAAGTCAGAAAAAACCAAACAGGATTTTATAACCATATTACACCGCAAATGATTTTTAAAATGGACCTCTTGAATACCTTTAAGACTATTCTCACTTGGGTCCATTGCGAGACGCCAAATGGCAAGCCAATAAATTACAAGAAGGGTGCGAAAATCGCTGGTCTTGTGACATTTTTGTCTTGCATATTGCTAAGATCTTTCTTTTGTGTGGAACACTGAAGCCACCCAATATATCACCTTTGAACATCACAGTGTCATGCTAGAAACCACTGGAAACACATTATATTGTTGCAAAGAAATTTTGTATTATAAATGCAGCCTACGTTTAATATTTTCTTCGTATAAATATCAATTTTAATGATTTTTCAAAATGTTTATAATTAGAATTACTTATTAAAATATAAATTACACTTATAAAATTATTTATTTATACTTCTACGCTATCTACAAGTGCAACAAATCAAAATGTTAAAGATTGGAAGATATTAGCCCTACATTAACAATGTGGCTGAATAATTCTCCTGTTGACAAGATTATATGAACTAACAATGACCGCAACCACATTTGCAATATTGCTAATGCTATTGTTCAGGGTATGACCTTTGTTTTTGTATGCACCGACTATGACCCCTCAAACGGTAATATTTTTCTTGCGCAGACAAAAAACTTAAGTTAAACAGGCGACAATGTTTAGAATTTTAAATGTAGATCTAGATCTAGATTTTTTTTTAAATAGTCAAAATAATATTCTCTTCATGAACTCATAGTGACCAGTGACTAAGATGGGAATATTTTCCAGCTGACAAGAAAATGTTAGTGGGCGATCAAAGGAGGCTAAAAAAGAACAATGAACAACACTCATGATTTATCTATTTGTTTAGTTTATAACTTCTTCTCACACATTGGGAGAAAAATCAAACCACTAAACGCATGAAACAAAAAATTATCTAGCAAATTGTGTCTCAGTATTAATTATCAGTGGTTCTGCAGGTATGTCAAGCATTTTCTTCTCGCAATTTACCACCTCGCCATTATGCGTCTCACAATTTACCAACACCCATAATTTTAGGCCAATGGAGGTGCAGTGAACGAATATTTATTTGGTATTCTATCATTTTTAGGACTGTAAAATCAACCAGCGCTAGTAATGTGAAGGACAGGTGACTGATAAATTTTAGTAATTTTTTTCGCAATTGTATGCATTATGTTTTAAAAGTTACAAAAATGTTTCATGTAGGCGCTAACTTTTAAAAAATAAGTTTATTTAAACCATTTTCATCATATGCAACTAAGCTTGTTATTGTAGTAGCTATATTTAAAATTTTTGCTTGGTAAATTATTTTTGTAATTTCAAGGGAAATCCCTCTAATTTACAGATGGCCCTGTTTTTATAGCCCTAGGTTAGGTGGAGCAAATATGTATGCTAGATCTAAATGAACAAAATATAAATTAACCTAATTCATGTAATGAGCCCTAGCTAGATCTTTATCCTAATAGGGTAATAATACAATATAGCGTCTATTCTGGAATGATTTTTATTAGCAGTAAAAAACCTAGTTAAAGGGGTACAGTCTGCCAGACTGTTCTAAAATACTTTAGAAATACTGTAAACCATATTTTATTTGGTGCAATCTTGTGATAATACAGATTTGTATAGATATTTTAGTTGCATGTTAAATACTGTTTTGCTAATGATTTTCTATAGCAAGTGTTTTTGCTAATCGATGCTGGTAGTCAGTTTTTGTTAAACACTGTTCTAGTCTTTTTTACTAGTTTAGTAGGCTTAATCTATTCTTTTTTCAACCTTAAAATTGAAATAGCATTCTGCATCTAATTGTCTGATATTTGTAAATTTTGTTTTTTGGATCTACAGTTTATGAAGTCTTTGAAAATGTAGCATCCAAGTATGATCTAATGAATGATGCAATGAGTGCTGGAATACACAGAGTTTGGAAAGATACATTTATTGAAAGATTTGCCCCATCTCCAGGCACTAAACTTCTTGATGTTGCTGGAGGAACAGGTCAACTTTCTTTGAAAACTATACTTTATTGATTGCATGAAAATAATTTTAAAAACTACAGTGAAGGGTTGTTTCTCTTATTATTATCATGGCGTTTAAAACATGGGCATCATTTAACTTTGACAGTTAATTTGATTTGATAAGTATTCTTCAGTGTTATAGTTATTTAATTTTAAATAAAATTACTGTTCCAAACAATTTTTTGAAAATCATGCTCCTGTGTTATTTGGTGATCAATTGACAGAAGATCCGATTGAACTTGAGCATATTAGTTATGTGCTTAAACTGTTGTTTACTTCGGTTATGACATACAAGTTGATTCTCCTAAATCTAATAAATTCAGGTGATATAGCTTTCCGATTCCTGAGATATGTAGGCACACCTACCCTGGGTTCCTCTGATAGTGTGGAAAAATCACAGGTAGGCAGTGGATTTGGTTTTATAAAAATCTTTAATAATTATAAAATATATAAAAAGTAAAATATGTAAATTGTAATTTTCTAACAGTTAAGTATGAAAGAGTAAATGTTTCTTTTACGGTTTATTTAGGATGCATTGAACAATACATGTACAGTCAGTGAAAGCTCAGATTATATAACAGATCCTGACCACAATGGAAGTCATGTAACTGTCTGTGATATTAACCAAGCAATGTTAGATGTGGGGAAAGATAAAGCCAAAGACATGGGATATACCTCAGGTAATTTTCAATTTTTTTTTTCAACCAAATGCCATGGTTAATTTATGTTCCAGAAAGAAAAATTAAAAGCAAATGTTTTATTGAAGTGTATTTATACAATATTTTATGTTTGAATAATTTAGGTATTTCATGGGTTAAAGGAAATGCTGAAATGTTACCATTACCAGACAATTCATTTGATGCTTATACAATAGCATTTGGTATACGCAACTGTACTCATGTACAAAAGGTACATATTTTTATAATTATACAATTTTTATTTATAATAATAAGGATAATAAATGTTGTATGTAAACTGAAAAAAACATTTATTTATGTAAATGAATTATTCAGGTACTAAATGATGCTTACCGTGTTTTAAAACCTGGTGGAAGATTTATGTGCCTTGAATTCAGTGAAGTTAAAAATCCATTATTACGGAGGTAAGAATCTTTTCTTTTTTAATGGTTTCATATTAAAAGCTCTCAAGCATTGAAAAGTGACTACATGTACACTGTAGCATAATAAAACATATTTCTACAAAATAGTACAGAAAATTAGTTTGTGCATTTTTCTGTTTGCATAAGTTTTTTGATTGCTCATTTCTGGGAATCAATATTTCTGGTACATAAAAAAATAATCTAACCTTCATTCTACAGTGTGTATGATAATTATTCCTTTCAAGTCATACCTGTTATGGGACAAATTATTGCTGGAGACTGGAAGTCATATCAATACTTAGTTGAAAGCATCAGGCAGTTTCCTAATCAAGTAAAAACATTCTTTAAAACATTAACAGTTATAAAACTTTAACACTTTTGCTCCACATAGCAATGCTCTGTTTGAATATTACTGTAAATGACATCTTATTTGGTTTATTTTCAGGAGGATTTTGCTCAAATGATAAAGACAGCAGGTTTTAGGATGGTTCAGTATGAAAATTTGACCTTTGGAGTAGCAGCAATACATTCAGGATTTAAAGTTTAGCTATAACTTAACTATAAGTAGTTCTTTTTTTTTTCATATAGTATATAGGTTACTCTTTGCCATTGATTTTGACCCAACAATAATTTTGGTATATTTTTTTTTGGGTGTATTTTTAAAATCCTGATAATGTGATCAATTAATAATTATTTCTGTTATTATTTCATTTTTCAATTCTGTTTTATCATGCCCAGTTATTTTCCCATCAAGCTGAGGTAACAATTTGTATGCTTTGTGATGTTTGGTGAGACCAGTTAATGCTGGTGTAACCTTTAATGCTGAAATTCTACTGAAATTTGAAGTTTTAAATTAGAATTAGAAAGTCTAAACTATTGATGTAATGAATAAGACTGCTTTATATAAAGGCTAAAATATTTATAACCACAATCTTAGTAGTTACAGATACACTCACATTTTTTTTAAAACTATGAAGGTTGCCTTTATTTTTGTGGCAAAATAATCTCTAAGACTGAGGGAACTAACTGTAAAATAGAGCAGAGGGCAAAAGCAGGTTGGGTATGAGTGTTATATATTGAAAGTAAGTTACACTGGTTAAAATAGAGTAATCAGAAGAGCAATGTTAATTTTATAACAGGTCATGATATGATAATTTTGATTTGTTGGATTTTATATGCATCTAGTTTTAATAGAATTAAAAATGTTATTTAATATGAATTATTGTGTCATTACTTTGTGATCTAATCTATTATTCACTCGACATTTGGTCTAAAGTATATTTGTAAACAGTTTTATATTCTGACATTCTTTTCTTGTACTCCTTATCATAATCTTCATTCATAGTATCAGTGAACCAGTTTTTCCAATCTCCTACACCACCTATAAATAGAGAAAGGAACATTGAATTGTTAGATTGGTCTGATAAGCTAGAGTCTCAGTCTGTGCTAACTCATAACATCAAAATGGTTACAATGATAGCAGAAAGTTTAAATATTTAGTCTAATGAATGAACATGGCTGGTATAATAAAGCACTCAGTCACCATGTGTTTATTAGGTTAACTTTGAACTAAAAGACCTATTTTTATAATGAATTTTCTAACAAAATAAAACAGATTAATTTATTTAGATTTAATTGAAAATTAATTGAAGGTTGGAGATTTGGATAAAATGTTTAAATTCTTTTATATTTTATACTAATTAATGTAATATACCTTTTCTATAAAATGGTATCTTTTTGTCTTGAAACATAGCTTGAAATTCAGGCTGCACTGTTTTTTCTTTGTGTTGCTTCATATTGTCAAAGCTACAGGCTGAAGCTATTTCTTCACATAACTCATCTGAACAGCCAGTATCCACGTATCTATTCAAGCTTTTAACTCCACCAATGGGATCCTGCAGTTTAGAAAAATTGTTTTAGCCCTATCCACCAATGGGGTCTTGTATAAAAATATTAGCTATTGTTACATAGATATCCACATAGTAAAAAAAAAAAGGATGAATAAACACATTTCACTGTTTCTTAATTTTAGTACCACGAGGAAGATATTGCTACTCAATTCTACACTTAGATCATCTCTACAACTACTTTATTCCCTATGTCCCTGACTACTACAGACATCATATTTGAAACCCACCTAAAAAATATGCCCAGCCTGATTCCATGGTTTCAACCATAACACTATCCACCAATATATCCTGTGGTCAAGAAATATTGTTTTCAATTTAACTTGATAGTTGGGTTTTGTAGCAAATCAAATATTTTAAACTTTTATCTATTTTTTTTTAATCTCTGAAAAAATTTGGTGCAGTTGTTTTAGCAGATTGTTAGTGCTGTTTAGTTTTACCATTAATGAAGAATTATTGTTAAACTCATTAGGATGATGTTTTATATACTAATATGCTATGGCAATCTGCACACAAGAAGTATAAATTTAACTGGCAGCAGTTCATTAAATCATGGAACCTATAAGAAACAAATAGGAGTCATGACCCCATGTTAGACTATATGAGTTGTAATGCTGCTTACAATTACTTTTATTTACATACTAAGAAATGTATGTTTAATACTTTGCACCTCTTTTTGGTTGATAAAAAAAAAAATCTTCAATGTAAATCATATATTTATACATTTTTAAAAACACATTTATAGATTCTACATTTTTTTATTTAATAACAGACATTTTTCATAAGAACATAGTAGAATGTTACTGAATTTGTAGGCCTATATTGGAAGTGAATTTTGAGAGGTCAACATATTTTTCTGGGCACTCACATTGAGGGCTGCAGTGTCAAAAAGTTGACTGCACCATCTAAAATTCATGGTCCTCTTGTTTGTCCACTATCCACAGTGTAAATCATGAAATATTAACTTTCTACACACCATGTGCTTACAAATAGTTTTAAAAATGTTGATCAACTTACCAAAATCATCTCTTCATAGATGGAGGTAAAAACTGAACCATCTGGATGAGACTCTATTCCTCTCTGCCATTCCATTCTGTAGTCAAACAGATCCCCATACATGTCTAGTGACGGCAACAAAACGTTGTTACATTCATATCATTTGCTTATTGTGTTTAATGGGTTGAAATAAATATAACTTTGTGATACAATCGGCAGGGGGAAAGATTACATTTACTGATTTAGTCAAAGTAATAATACAGTGTTGAGCACAGGTTCTGAAAGTTCCTAAAACAATACATTATACTTAGTTTAGACTTGTTTAGAGTTAGTTCATTTAGTGTCAATAATTATGATTTTACTTGTGTCAAATGTCAACAATTATGGTTTACGTGTGACAACTTTTTAGAAGGAATGAAATAGTACTTACATCCAACCTCTATATTAAGGTAAAAAAACTGTTCAAATGATCCAGCATAATCAAATGGGGGAATATTCTTATGCATGTGATTATAAAATGACACAAAAACGTCTTTAGGATTTCTATCCAAGTAAATGATCTTAATTTTTTTTTCAAATGCTTGTTTAGGAACATATCTGAAATGTAAAGATAAAGTAAAAAATCAGATTCATCATCCCTTTCTGCTTGTAATTACTGTGTACAAAAATAAAAAAATGTCACCTATAGGGCACATGTGTAACCAATAATCTTGGAGAAGGTAATTTACTGAAATGCTCAATGGGCATCATGTCCAAGAATCCAAGAGAAGTTTCTCCATCTGTAATTTTTGATGTCTTTTTCATCAACATGTTGATGATCTCCTGCTGCCAGTGCAAGCCTGAAACAAAAGTTTACTTTTGTTCAACTATCACATCCTGAAACAAAAGTTTACTTTTGTTCAACTATCACATCCTGAAACAAATGTTTACTTTTGTTCAACTATCACACCCTGAAACAAATGTTTACTTACTTTTGTTCAACTATCACGCCCTGAAACAAAAGTTTACTTTTGTTCAACTTTCATGCCCTGAAACAAATGTTTACTTTTGTTCAACTATCACGCCCTGAAACAAATGTTTACCTACTTTTGTTCAACTATCACGCCCTGAAACAAATGTTTACTTACTTTTGTTCAACTATCACGCCCTGAAACAAATGTTTACTTTTGTTCAACTATCACATCCTGAAACAAAAGTTTACTTTTGTTCAACTATCACATCCTGAAACAAAAGTTTACTTACTTTTGTTCAACTATAACGCCCTGAAACAAATGTTTACTTTTGTTCAACTATCACGCCCTGAAACAAAAGTTTACTTACTTTTGTTCAACTATAACGCCCTGAAACAAATGTTTACAATCGCTGCAACTAGATTTCTAGCTACAAGTGATGAGGACAGGTACAAATTTCTGTGAGTTCAATCACTTGTTGCCATTGATTAATTGAAAACATCCAAACCAAAATTAATGTGTTATATCCCCACCTACCCATAAATGCATCCTATCCCTACCTACCAATAAAGCCATCATATCCCCATTAATCAAAGCAAACATAAATTAATACCTGATTTAGGATAAGAACAAATCAAAACATCATCAGTTCTTATTTCCATATCTCGTGCTCTGCGGACTTGAGTTCTGTAGTCATTATCAGCTCCAATTGGAAATGGTACTTGCCAAAAGTCTCCAGCATTGCCAAATAGGATGACATTGCCAAATCTACAATTGCATTTAACATATGGGTATATAGCAGAGGTATGGTTTAAAAGTAGACATCTTCTGCAAGCTGTTTTAAAGTATAAAAATCCAAAGAAGTTTTTGTGTAACATCTAAAAAGCCATAATGTTAATTTTGAAATGAATCTTGAGTATAAAAAAAGAGCTCGTACAATCTCATTTATTGGATTAGCGTCTTCTCTAATTGTTTAAAAAAAATGTGTGCTGGTTAATTAATCCCGCCTCCCAATATGTTAAAACTAATTTTATGTGAAAGAAAAAAATAAAGGGATGCTACTAATACTACTATTACCTATCTGCTATCTGAGCTAATTTAGGCATCATCATATTTGTTTGCTCTTGTTTTTTTTTGCTAGGCTCTTCCTTTTGATTCTCCCTATAATAATGAAGGATGAGAAAATGTTTTGTAAATATGATCAAACTTGATGGAAGTTCATTTTGTTTAGCTTTAGTATTAACCCTACTTTCTTAATTGAAAGAATGCAAACATTTGCATGAATATCCATTAACCAAAGGCTATTTGGTTTGTTAGGTATCTCATGGGATTTCCCAACTTGGGATTTCCCAAATTTACTACAGAGGTGAGGTGGGGGGGTGGGTGCGCTCCCTTGCATGCCCACCTATATGGTCACTTAAGGCCTATTATCCTAGCCAGCTTACATCTTTGTGTGACATGAATGTCATTCTACACAATTATGGCCTTCCCGTTCAGGAGGAGGGGTGTGTCTTTGGGGGGGGGGGGGCAGAGGTGTGAGATGTTGTCAGTCTCTAGGGGGCCATAGTAATATCTCTATCTATCTATCTACAGTCTATAGCAGGGGTCTCCGAACTACGGCCCCCGGGCCAGATGCGGCCAGCGAGGTCTTCTCATCCGGCCCGCCGAGATCATTTTGTCCACGGAAAAAAATGATTGTTGGAGCTGGATGAGGAACTATGTCCCGAAAATTCAAAACAATTGTCCGCCATGTTGCAGAAATTGTTGAAAACAGTGTGACTCAAATAGCGAAAAATGCAAGCAAATTTTGTCATTTTTCTATTGCAATGGATGAGTTGCTGGGCTGTTCCACCTCTCAACTTCTTGTGTTCATTAGAGGTGTGGATGAAGACAAGAACATAACAAAAGGGCTGGCTTCCCTACATAACATGTACGGCACTGTTACTGGAGAGGATATATGCAATTAGTAAAAAAAAAACATTTGCTGATTATAACTTGGACTGGACTAACCTCAGTTACCTGACAATTCATGGAGGAAAGTACATGAGTGGCATAAAGAAAGGCTTGGTTGGACAAGCAAATGAGAAAAACATTCTACAACCTATGTTCCTGCACTGTATTATTCACCAGCTAGCTTTGTTTGCTAAATATATGGACATTAGCAGTGTACTGAACAGAGGCGTAGCGAGGGGGGGGGGGGTGTCGGGGGGGAACATAGATCCCGGGCGCCAACTTAAGGGGGTGCCAAAATGGGTTGGAAAAACAAATCGAAAGTTTGAGTGGGGGGGGGGGGGGGGAGTGCAAATCAAAAGCTTGAACGGGGTGCAAATCAAAATTTTGAGGGGGGGGGTGCGAATTGAAACTTTGTCCCCGGGCACCAGGAAGGGTTGCAACGCCTCTGGTACTGAATCCTGTGGTGAAGATGGTGAATTTAATAGGGTCACATGGGCTCAACAATAGATAGTTCAGAGACTTCAAATTTGTATATATTTCTATATAACTTATAGTCAGAGGCGTAGCGAGGGGTGCGGGGGGTGCAGACTGCACCGGGTGACACCATTTACGGGGGTGACGCCAAGGCAAAAAATAGCAAAATATATAGAGAAAAAACTTGAGATGGGGGTGCAAATCAAAAGTTTGGGGGGGGGGGGGGGGTGCAAATGGAAAACTTGAAGGGGGGGGGGTGCAAATTGAAAGTTTGAGGGGGGGTGCAAATCAAAAACTTGAAAGTTTGTCCCCGGGAAGGGTCGCTACGCCTCCATTAAGTGCCGCACCGGGTGCCACCCGACCTCGCTACGCCACTGCTTATAGTTCATTGGAGGGGGGGGGGGGGGGTAGACATTCTTTGGGGAAGTTGGGGGGGTCAGCCACCCCAAAGAGATGCCTGGAAGAAACTGGCCCCCAAACTGATATTTGATAGTTAATGCGGCCCTCTAGCTGAAACGTTTGGAAACCCCTGGTCTTAGGCCTATATATATAATATATTATATTTATAATTATATTATCTAGCATAATTTATAAATAATATAACATTAATATTTATTTACTAGCCGTCCCGGCCAGGCCCTGCTCTGGCTTCTGTGAAAAACCTTTCTGTTAAAGACCATTACCTGTGTGTTTAGTAATCATCATAAACCCGGCATTGCCCACCCAAACCACAACCAACCAAAACAATAAAACGCAAACATAACTTTAACACAATTACAAATACAAACGAAAACAAAAACCTAACAACAAACACAACCACAAACACCAATACAAACACAAAGAAAAAACAAACAAAAAAGCAAAGGAAAACAAAAACCTAACAACAAACCCAACCACAAACACCAATACGAACACAAAGAAAAAAACAAACGAAAAAGCAAACGAAAACAAACCAAATCCAAACGCAAAACCAACCACAAACACAAACCCAATATAATAGATTGACGACAGAAGCCTGTGGTTGTATATAACACATTTATTGGGTCTAACTACATCACGATGGTAACACACAGAGAGGCCGGAAGGAAGTACCCAAGGGACATCACTCAAGATAACAATATTATAAATATAACTAATACAGAAGAGTGAGTTCCCTTGACCTCACAATTATTTCAATCTATTACATCCCTTTACCCTTAGAACACAATAACACATCTCTCAATAGAACAATTGATAGTATCCTAAAATCACCAATTATATTGTAACATGAACACTATGGTAGATTACATCCTTACAAACAATGCACAATATGCTACAACATAATCAAAATACAAAACAATAATGTCAAAGTCCTTTTGACCTTTAGAATCATAGGTCTAACTTATTTGGGACTTTGATTGTCCTGCTTGACCTTCTCAGTGGCTTTTGATTTGGTGACTCAAGATTCTGACCATCTGGATTCTCTATCTCAGGAGGTCTAGGATTTAAATCATTAACTCCAGAATTTACATTTTCTGACTCCAGACAACTTGGTTCACTCATATCAACAGAACTTGGTTGTGGAACAAACTGAGTTGGTGTGAACTGATCAGACTTGGTGGGATTGACAGATTCACACTTATTATCTGCACAAGTTATTTTTAACTGGTCTGCATGTCTACGGACAATAAGTCCATCATTTGTTTTTACTTTATAAGACACAGGTCCTGTACATTGAACAATTTGACCTGGTATCCATTTTTCCTTTCTCCCATAATTTCTTAGATGCACATTATCATTAACTGCAAATTCTCTTTCAATGGATGATTTGTCATGATTTAATGGAACTATTTTTGAATTGGCATCTGAAAGTATTAAATGGCAAAAAATCTTTTTTCTTTTTTTTGATGTTACCCTTTTAGTTTCTGTAAGTGCTAATGATGTTAGCAAAGTTGTTTGATGATCACATTCCTTCTTACTAATGTATTCTCTTTTAAAACATTTGAAATTGCCATATCACCATAATCATTTATTAAGTTACAAATACTTTGTTTAGGCAACTCTGACTGATAATGGACTGTATCTTCTCCATCATTTATATTATCTTCACAAAGGGTTTTAATTTCTTATTTTATATGGCCTTAAGTCATCATTCACAGACTCTTCAGGCCAACCATTCTTACAGTACTCATATACTTTTATTAAGCACTCATCTTTTTGTGTTTCTCTCTTAATATCATTCACATTTATATTGGAGTTATCCATGATAGTGAAGAGAACAAATACATCTTCTGGTACATAGCTCAGGCTTTGGTTTTTTAAAGGTAATCTACTAAGACTATCTGCACTATTCTCAGATCCAGGTTTGTATTTCAATTCATAATTGTATGCAGTTAGTGTGATAGCCCATCTTTGAATTCTTGGTGAGGCATGCTCAGGTAGGGTTTTGTTTTCTCCAAATAAACCTAGCAATGGTTTATGATCTGTAAAGATGGTGAACTTCCTACCAAACAGAAACTTATGAAATTTCTTAACACCAAACATGATGCCTAAGCCTTCCCTATCTAACTGAGAATAATTTTTCTCAGCCTGGTTCAAAGATCTACTGGCAAAAGCAATGGGTCTGTCACCCTTCTCATCCATGTGGGACAAGACTGCTCCTACACCATCTGGTGAAGCATCACATGTTAATATAAGTCTTTTCCCTGGGTCATAGTGAGTTAGTAAGGTGTCAGCAGACAAAGCCTCTTTTGCTGTATTAAAAGCAGCTTCTTGTTGTTTACCCCAGTGCCAAGTTGCATTTTTCTGTAGCAGCTTGTACAGTGGTGATAATTTACCAGACAGATTTCCTATGAACTTTGCATAGTAATTTATCAAGCCCAAAAAAGCTCTTAGTTGTTGGGTATTTTCAGGTTTGGGTGCTTCTTTAATGGCTTTTGTTTTCTCAGGTTGAGGTCTGATACCTTGTTTGCTTAATATATAACCAAGAAAACTAATTTCTGTCAGCATGAATTGACATTTATCTTTGTTTATCTTTAAACCTTTTTCACCAACAATTTTCAATACTTTATCAAGTGTTTTAAGATGTTCAGTGTCATTCTTACCAGTTATGTACACATTGTCAAAGTACACACAAACATTTGGAATGTCCTTAAAAATACTGTCCATGACAGCTTGGAAAATTCCAGGGCTAGATGATATGCCAAAACACAGTCTTTCATATTGGTAGAGTCCTTTATGTGTGTTTATTGTCGTATAGACTTTTGAATCTGGATGCAGTTCTAGTTGAGTGTAAGCATGACTAAAGTCTAATTCAGTGAATTTGTCTCCTCCTGCCAAATTCAAAGAAATTTCCTCAATGTTAGGTATAGGGTACCTATTTAGCTCTATTTGCTTATTCAGTGTAGTTTTATAATCTCCACAAATTCTTATAGAACCATCCTTCTTTAACACTGGCACAATGGGTGTCGCCCAATCGGAATAGTCTACCTTCTTTATAATGCCATTAGATTCCAATCTACTTAGCTCATTTTCAATTTTGTTCCTCATTGCATAAGGTGGAACTCTAGCTTTGCAGTATCTTGGATTTGTGTCTTTAATGCTTAACTTCACTGTTCTATCATTTAGTAATCCAAGATTACCAAAAACACATTTATTTTCAGATATAACTTTATCTAGTGAAGTAAGACTAGATTCTCTTACATTCTTCAATGAACAAATACTCTCCCAATTTAACTTAAGATTACTTAACCAGTTCCTACCTAGTAATGGCGGTCCATTTCCTTCAACCACAAGAAGAGGAAGTTTAACACTTTGACCATTATAACTTACATGAACCATACACTCTCCTATTACCGGAACATTGTCACCAGTGTATGTTGTTAGACACTTGTGACATGGCTGTAGAGGCACTGATCCTCCTGTGACAGCGTCAAAATCTTTCTTTGTTATGACTGTTAGAGATGCTCCAGTGTCAAGTTGGAAGCTGATGCTCTTACCGTTGATATTAACTTGTACATTGATGGGAGCATGACTTATTGATTTAACAGAGAACAGGTTGAAATCCGGCTGCAAATCAATTTGAGCATTTTCACAGGTAGAGTGGTTCATTGGTTGGGTTAGGTAGTCTTGGTGAGAGTTAACATAGTGCTGCCTTTGGTTGCGGTACTGTCTTGACTGGCTAGATTTAGCAACAGACGAAGACTTTGCAAAGCAGGCCTTGGCAATGTGACCTTGCTTACCGCACTTATAACAAGTTGCAGACTTGAACTTGCACCGATGAGATGCATGGGGACCCTTGCATCGATGACATTTTTGATAATTATTACTAGATTTAGATCTAGGATTTGAACGAGCAGGCTGTTTAGCATAAGTTGGAATGCTCTGATGGGGTTGATGTTTGTTGACTAACCTGCTGTTTACTGCATGGATCCCTGAAGGCGTAAGAGATTTCGCCGCATCTGATGACTGCTGGAATGAAGTTGCAAGTTGTATTGCTTTTTCTAATGTTAGATCTGACTCGAGCAGCAACTTTCTTTGTATATCAGGGCTGTTTACACCTGTCACAAACTTTTCACATAGTCTGTCAGACAGCGTATCGCCGAATTCACAGAATCTACTTAGATGACGTAAGGCAGCAACATATTCTGATATTGACTCGTTTGGTTGACGAGTCTTACTGTCAAATCTAGCTCGACATAGAAACTTTGATGGTACAGGCGCATGGTGGTCTGTTAGCAATTTGCTCAGCTCGTTAAAGCTCTTGGTAGTTAGACTAGCTGGTGCGCATAAGTCTTTTAGTAGCCTAAATTGTTGAGGCCCTATGACTGTTAACAAAATAGCTCTCTTTTTGGCTTCTATCGTCACGTTGTTTGCTTCTAGGTAAAAGCTTAACCTCTCTAGGTAATCTTGAATGATTTCATCATTCACATCAAATTCTTTTATTTGGCCATACAGCGCCATAATTCTAGAAATAATTAGCTAATAAGCTCTAGCAAACCTCTTTTTTGCGTAAGTAGGTGCTCTTTTTAGTAGATGTTTATCCTTCGTCGCCAGTTATAATAGATTGACGACAGAAGCCTGTGGTTGTATATAACACATTTATTGGGTCTAACTACATCACGATGGTAACACACAGAGAGGCCGGAAGGAAGTACCCAAGGGACATCACTCAAGATAACAATATTATAAATATAACTAATACAGAAGAGTGAGTTCCCTTGACCTCACAATTATTTCAATCTATTACACCCAAAGAAAAAAACATAAATGAAAAAGCAAACGAAAACAAACCAAATCCAAACGCAAAACCAACCACAAACACAAATACAAACACAAACCCAAAGAAAAAAAAAACACAAACGAAAACGAAAAAAGAAAGAACAAAAACGAACCAAATCAAAACGCAACCACTAACGCAAACCCAACCTAAACACAATGAAAACACAAACGCGAACATAAACGCAAAGTGCTCACAGTCTAGCCCGGGGCAGAATCGCCTGTTTCAGTTTAATAAACGACTATAGTACCCCAACTTATTCATAGTCTTTTGCACTCACTTAAACGAACGTAGGTGCCAAACCAAACCAAATGAACAATTATAATACTCCAAGCTTAACCGTAAAATACCTACAACATTTGCACTTGATCAATCCCTGCTAATTATGTAATTATTTTTTTCCCAACACCAAAACAAAGTAATAAAAAGTAAATTCTTTTCCACTAATGCAATGTTTTATAAAGGGAAGTAATTGTGTTTTCCTAATTTATCAAAGGGAAGTAAGTGCTAAATGACTAAATATAAATAATTTTCAGACATAATTGGAATTTTTGTAAAAGATGATATTTTTTTTAAAATTGAGTTTAATGAACATGCCGACAATTATTACTATCAGTTTGAAAAATGAAAATTATTTCCCAACACTTTCAATAGTAATTTTTTAACTCATAAATTTAGACAATGAGCACGATTATAATCTAACACTTAAATCCATCAAAGTATGTCAACGACAAACTAATTACATGTTACATACAGAATTGAGCTTTATATATATTAGATTGCTGCTAGCTTGTGTAAGGTCTATATTACCATAAGCCATAAAGGCATATAAAAATATAGGCCCTAGGCCTACATATTTTTTTATAATATTAATTATTGTTATATAGATCTAGGCCTACTAATAAAATAAATGATTAATAATTTAATATACAATTTAATAGTAAAAAAACTTCTTAAATTTTATCTAGGCCCTATACTATTTTTAGACTATTCTATTACTAGATCTAGAATTAGAATCTCTAGATGTCTAGATCTAACTATTTGTATTATTTTTTATAGGCCTATATATATATTAGTATATTTTAGTATTTATTTTACAATGTTTTTCACAACTGCAATGTGGAGTAGATCTAGATCTAATAATTAATTTCCGTCCTAGCTTTAAAAAAAAAATAAACTAAACATAGTTTAGTTACTTACATTACTCAAAACTAAATATCTGTTGATATTCTTGTTACTTGTCAATAGTCTTGTTTGAATCAATGTTGAATGTAGGCTATAAAAATATGGCCAGTTTTATATTCTCAATTAAAAATATAATGTCATATGACTGTAAAGGGGAAACTATTCCGGTTATTTATTACCGCAGTTTACTAACAAAATAAAACCCGGAGTTATCGGTTATTACCTTGACCCAGATTGCCGGCCTAACTTAACCAGCAACAGGCGTTGTTTTGAAAAAAGTCTACTCTTAGTCTATAGTCAGAGGCGTAGCGACCCTGTCCGGCGCCCGGGGACTAACTTTCGATTTGCACCCTCCCTCAAAAGTTTCGATTTGCACCCCCTCCCTCAAGATTTCGATTTGCACCCCCCTCTCAAATTTTCGATTTGCACCCCCCCTCAAGCTTTCAATTTATTTTTCCAACCCATTTTGGCGCCCCCTAAGGTTGTCGCCCTGGGACATATGTCCCCCCGCCGCCCCCCTCGCTACGCCACTGGTCTATAGTACAACAATTAGGCCTACTCAAAACAGATTGTTATATTACCCTGGTTATATTGGTAAAGTGGTTGACTCGGCAGCAGTGGCGTAGCGAGTTCGGGTGTCACCCGGTGCGGCACTTAATGCTGTCACCCCCTAGAGGTGTAGCGACCCTTCCCGGGGACAGACTTTCAAACTTTCGATTTGCACCCCCCCCTCAAACTATCGATTTGCATTCTTGTCGGGATTTGTCAAATTTGCTCTTAAAAGACTTTTTAACACTCGAATTAATCACTTAATGAAGTGGAATTATCATTTTTCTCTATATATTTTGCTATTTTTTGCCTTGGCGTCACGCCCCTAAATGGTGTCACCCGGTGCGGTCCGCACCCCCGACCCCCCCTAGCTACGACACTGCTCGGCAACCCCAGGAGTCGGTCTTAATAAAATGACGCTATGCACTAGGGACCTGTTGTGAAACTACCAGCAGTTTCTAGGGGGGGGGGGGGGTTAGGGGCATGACCACGCAACTAAGAGCCAGGATGTTAAATGGAAGTCCCGTTCTTTCGAGGAGGCGAAGGCATTTACCAACATCATTGAAGAGCAAGGAGAAATTAATACTACACGTTGTGAAAGTACTACATCCCCACACATTTGTGACAATACTTACTACTACAGCCCAACCAGTTTTGACACTACTACTGATGGGAAATTTGAGATTTTTAATTTTTGTTATATATTTGACATAAACTAAAATATTAATGGAGACATCAAACAATAAAATAATATTTAATCAATATTAAGCAGAACCGTATAACATCATCAATAATTTCACGTTTTACAATAACTTAAAAATAAAGAGAAAAAAAAAACAGGTCTCGATCAGAAACATTTAAATTGTGCACTGACATTGTCTAAACATGGCACCGCACTCTTTTATAGGAAATGCGCATAAAAAAATCCACTAAAATCCTGATTTTTTGCCATAATGGGTTTCTTGCACTTTTGGATACTTTGTCCATTTTTGTATTAAGAAAATAATAACTTTAACGAGAACATATTTAATGTGTTTAAATAATATTTTTTCCCTATCTTACTAACTCTCTACGAGTTTTATATCCGTCATCATATTAGGGTTGCCAGGTGTCCAGTTTTGAACTGGACAGTCCAGTATTTGAGCAGACTGTCCAGGATAAAATAAATATAAATACTGGACAAGTATATGAATAATACTCCGTTACCCCCTTCTTCTGCTCTGCGGCATACCTGAGAAGGGAAGGATGGAAAGTTGTCCAGTATTTTCGGAAAAGGTATCTGGCAATCCTACATCATTTGGCATCATTTGAAAGCTGTATTTCTCATCTAGAAGTCTATTTGATAATCTTATTTTCCATCATCTCGGAAACACCCAAAGCTTACAATTTGCTTTACAAATGACACAGATATGGTATTTTCGTGACATACTTTTCCTTACTTTTTGTTGCTTTTCTCAGTTCGCTGATTCTAACACTAAAAAGTCTACTACATTTTTATTTATAAAACAATGCTCACCATATTTTCAGTATGTGTTCTTCATGCAAAAATAAAACTTATGTCACGAGGGAATTGTGATGTCTTTCATAGAAAAAAGTTAAGTTAAATGATATGCAAATTTTGAAACTTTTGTATAATAAAAAGGCACGATTTTTTCAGAGATTGTAGAATTCTGACCAGTAGCTCTTTCAAAAAGTTGTCGGGACAAAAGTTTTAATATATACTGAAATATAAGTAAGCCTTTTAAATTTGATTGCTATAAGTGAACGACAACCAAAGTTGTTTTCAACCTTTTCTTTTTTGCTATTTAATACTTACTTTCATGTGTCAAACACGTTAAAAGTGTTCAAAAGGCTTTAGATCTTAAATTGTAAAAAAAAAAAATATATATATATAAATAATCTAAGCATATCCCCTTGATAAAAAAAGGTGGAGACCACTTGTATAGCGATGTCCGATGTATAACACTATTCATGGACGACTTCAAATTAAAACAATATTTCACGTACAAATTATATTTAAAAGCAACAAAATAAAAAGAAATGGGAGAAAACTTCTGTGTATTGAAAACCAGGGCAATGGAATAATTAAGTAAACAGAAGTTCTACTGCGCATAAAGTGGCGCCTAGTATTTCTTTCAGACTTTTTTCTCCGGGGAGCCCCCCCCCCCCCCTCCCACCCCACCCATTGAAGAGAAGTCTGGAAGAAAAATCTGGTAACGCCTCAAATGATGTTGTAATAGACTTGACTATTTCACTGTAGGGTATATTTGTAAAGAGTTCTGTAGCCCGACATGTGTTTCTTGTATTCTCTATCGAATTCTTCGTTCAAAGCCACAGTGAACCAGTTTTTCCAGTCACCTACGTCACCTGAAGGTTACATTATTTTAAAGATAAAAAACATACAACATATCACGAAAACTGTTCATTAAACTTAGCTCTAAAAGTATTTTTTACCCAAAACCCGATTGAAACGTGACTTATTAGGTTTAAAATCACCTCCTACTTAAAGATTCTGATATCTGGCAGTACCTTTTCTGTAGAAGTTGTTTTTGTTGTTACGAAACAAAGACTTAAGCATCTCCGATGAGGTCATTTCTTTGAACTGTTTCATGTTGCCAAAGCTGCAGGTATCGGCAATCTCTTCACACAGCTCCTCGCTACAGCCTGTGTCTAGAAACTTATTCAGTTTTTTTACGCCCTTTCTTTCATCCTGTTTCAGAAATTATACCTCGGTTTTACGGGCGATACAAAGATGGTGAACATAGAAGTTCGTACATTTAACATTAGTTTTACGGGCGATACAAAGATGGTGAACATAGAAGTTAGTACATTTAACATCAGTTTTACTGGCGACACTAAGATGGTGCACATTTATCAATTTGTTCTAATATAGCAAAAAAAGTAAAAGGTGACAAAGCTATACACCACAGCCAACCCGAGAAGTTATTGCATACACTAGCCAAGAATAGAACCAAAACTGTATATTATAACTAACCCACTTTAGTACTATAAAACCAAATGATATCCCCCCCCCCACACAAAAAAAACAACTAAAAATCAACAAAAAAAACAACAACAGTTGAATGTTGATGAACATGTGCACAATTTCCTAAATGTGAGCAGAACTGGCATATCCTAAATAAAGTGTTACGCAATAGTTGAGCCAAAATATCAGTTGAAGTCAGTTCTCAAACGGGACATTATGTCACTCACCAGTTTCAACTCCTCGTACATCGAAACGTAGATGGGAACTTCGGGGTGAGCGTCAATACCTTCTTGCCACTCTAGCAAATAACTAAACATGTCTCCGTAGAAATCTATGGAGCATTAAAACAATAAGTGTTGAAGTATGAGGTAAAACACACATTAAAACAATAGGTGTTGAAGTATGCGGTAAAACACAAAGTGGTCTCACTAGGTCTGGTGTCACCCAGGTGTCACCCCAACCAACTAGAAAAAAATATTTTCGCTTGGTGTCACCCCTCGATTCTATTATTTAATTATTATTAATTGGATAAAAAGTTTTTTTTTTTTTTAAATTTTACGATGGTGTCACCCGGTACGGACAGCGCCCCCATCCCCGCCTTGTGACGCTACTGACATCTTTAATATGTGATGGTTATAGGTAGGCTGACTGTCTAACATACAGAATAAAATCTGATTGATATTTGATGACTAACATAGGTTGAGGTAACAAGACATATTAACGTATTGAAGGAGATGAAATTTACAACGAATGCTTGCCATTACTTTAATGTGACCCCTTTTCAATATGGAATCATTCAAAACAACAAACAACTGCTGTAGGTCAATATTATATCCGAGAGAAAACTGGTTTGCGGTTAAAGGGAATTAATTATCCCGAAAGAATCAGAGCTAGTGGCTTTGTAACAAATCATTTAGTGTAGCAAAAATAAAACTTTCAGCTTGTTTATGTGAAATACAAGCTAATACTATTTTAAAATTTCTTTCAATAGCTTAACCCAATTGTAATTTTAAAAAAATATCAGCCTGAAAAAAAACACGAAGTAAATGATGAGGTAACGCGATCTACAACTTTAAGGGTAAATAACTCACAACCAACTTCCAGGTTCTGGTAAACAAAGTGTTCAAATGTCCCAGGGTAATGTAACGGCGATACATGTTTGTGCATATGGTTGTAATAAGACACAAGGACATCCTTTGGGTTTCTGTCTAAGTAGATGATTTTAATTTTCTTTTCTAAGGCTTGCTTGGGTAGATATCTGAAAAAGAAGTAGAACTAGTGTTAGTGTTGGTAGAACTCAAACATTAGGCTGTATGTATTAGTGCATATGTATTCGGTTGTGTTGGAAGACATCACTACTCCACCACGTTTAATACAGGCCTTCCACCAAGTGACGTCATCACTCCACCAAGTTTAATACAGGCCTTCCACCAAGTGACGTCATCACTCCACCAAGTTTAATACAGGCCTTCCACCAAGTGACGTAACCACTCCACCAAGTTTAATACAAGATTTCCACCATGTGACGTCATCACTCCACCAAGTTCAATACAAGCCTTCCACCAAGTGACGTCATCACTCCACCAAGTTCAATACAAGCCTTCCACCATGTGACGTCATCACTCTACCAAGTTTGATACAGGCCTTCCACCAAGTGACGTCATCACTCCACCAAGTTTAATACAAGCCTTCCACCATGTGACGTCATCACTCCACCAAGTTTGATACAGGCCTTCCACCAAGTGACGTCATCACTCCACCAAGTTTAATACAAGCCTTCCACCATGTGACGTCATCACTCCACCAAGTTTAATACAAGCCTTCCACCAAGTGACGTCATCACTCCAGATTAAAACGAGGTGTCACGCCACACAGCAACAAACTTGGACAACTGTCCTAAAGGGCACACGACTTACAACTGTCCTAAAGGGCACATGATTTACAACTGTCCTAAAGGGCACATGATTTACAACTGTCCAAAAGGGCACATGATTTACAACTGTCCCAAAGGGCACATGCCTTACAACTGTCCTAAAGGGCACATGACTTACAACTGTCCTAAATGGCACATGACTTACAACTGTCCCAAAGGGCACATGACTTACAACTGACCTAAAGGGCACATGACTTACAACTGTCCCAAAGGGCACATGACTTAAACTGTCCTAAAGGGCACATGACTTACAACTGTCCTAAATGGCACATGACTTACTACTGTCCCAAAGGGCACATGACTTACAACTGTCCTAAAGGGCACATGACTTACAACTGACCTGAAGGGCACATGACTTACAACTGTCCTAAAGGGCATATGACTTACAACTGCCCTAAAGGGCACACGACTTAAAACTGTCCTAAAGAGCACATGACTTACAACTGACATGAAGGGCACATGATTTACAACTGACCTGAAGGGCACATGACTTACAACTGCCCTAAAGGGCACACGACTTACAACTGTCCTAAAGGGCACATGACTTAAAACTGACCTGAAGGGCGCATGACTTACAACTGACCTGAAGGGCATATGACTTACAACTGACCTGAAGGGCACATGACTTACAACTGTCCTAAAGGGCACATGACTTACAACTGTCCAAAAGGGCACATGATTTACAACTGTCCCAAAGGGCACATGCCTTACAACTGTCCTAAAGGGCACATGACTTACAACTGTCCTAAATGGCACATGACTTACAACTGTCCCAAAGGGCACATGACTTACAACTGACCTAAAGGGCACATGACTTACAACTGTCACAAAGGGCACATGACTTAAACTGTCCTAAAGGGCACATGACTTACAACTGTCCTAAATGGCACATGACTTACTACTGTCCCAAAGGGCACGTGACTTACAACTGTCCTAAAGGGCACATGACTTACAACTGACCTGAAGGGCACATGACTTACAACTGACATGAAGGGCACATGATTTACAACTGACCTGAAGGGCACATGACTTACAACTGCCCTAAAGGGCACACGACTTACAACTGTCCTAAAGGGCACATGACTTAAAACTGACCTGAAGGGCGCATGACTTACAACTGACCTGAAGGGCATATGACTTACAACTGTCCTAAAGGGCACATGGCTTACAACTGTCCTAAAGGGCACACGACTTACAACTGACCTAAAGGGCACACAACTTACAACTGGCCTAAAGGGCATATGACTTACAACTGACCTTAAGGGCACATGACTTACAACTGACCTAAAGGGACATGACTTACAACTGACCTAAAGGGCACATGACTTACAACTGACCTGAAGGGCGCATGACTTACAACTGACCTGAAGGGCATATGACTTACAACTGACCTTAAGGGCACATGACTTACAACTGACCTAAAGGGCACATGACTTACAACTGACCTAAAGGGAACATGACTTACAACTGACCTTAAGGGCACACGACTTACAACTGACCTAAAGGGCACATGACTTACAACTGACCTGAAGGGCGCATGACTTACAACTGACCTAAAGGGCACATGACTTACAACTGTCCTAAAGGGCACATGACTTACAAATGTCCTAAAGGGAACATGACTTACAACTGACCTAAAGGGCACATGACTTACAACTGACCTAAAGGGCACACGACTTACAACTGACCTAAAGGGCACATGACTTACAACTGACCTGAAGGGCGCATGACTTACAACTGACCTGAAGGGCACATGACTTACAACTGTCCTAAAGGGCACATGACTTACAAATGTCCTGAAGGGCACACGACTAACAACTGACCTATAGAGCACACAACTTACAACTGACCTAAAGGGCATATGACTTACAACTGACCTTAAGGGCACACGACTTACAACTGACCTAAAGGGCACATGACTTACAACTGACCTGAAGGGCGCACGACTTACAACTGACCTGAAGGGCACATGACTTACAACTGTCCTAAAGGGCACATGACTTACAAATGTCCTAAAGGGCACATGACTTACAACTGTCCTAAAGGGCACATGACTTACAACTGTCCTAAAGGGCACATGACTTACAAATGTCCTAAAGGGCACACGACTTACAACTGACCTATAGGGCACACAACTTACAACTGACCTGAAGGGCATATGACTTAGAACTGACCTAAAGGGCATATGACTTACAACTGACCTAAAGGGCACATGACTTACAACTGACCTAAAGGGAACATGACTTACAACTGACCTTAAGGGCACACGACTTACAACTGACCTAAAGGGCACATGACTTACAACTGACCTGAAGGGCGCATGACTTACAACTGACCTAAAGGGCACATGACTTACAACTGTCCTAAAGGGCACATGACTTACAAATGTCCTAAAGGGAACATGACTTACAACTGACCTAAAGGGCACATGACTTACAACTGACCTAAAGGGCACACGACTTACAACTGACCTAAAGGGCACATGACTTACAACTGACCTGAAGGGCGCATGACTTACAACTGACCTGAAGGGCACATGACTTACAACTGTCCTAAAGGGCACATGACTTACAAATGTCCTGAAGGGCACACGACTTACAACTGACCTATAGGGCACACAACTTACAACTGACCTAAAGGGCATATGACTTACAACTGACCTTAAGGGCACACGACTTACAACTGACCTAAAGGGCACATGACTTACAACTGACCTGAAGGGCGCACGACTTACAACTGACCTGAAGGGCACATGACTTACAACTGTCCTAAAGGGCACATGACTTACAAATGTCCTAAAGGGCACATGACTTACAACTGTCCTAAAGGGCACATGACTTACAACTGTCCTAAAGGGCACATGACTTACAAATGTCCTAAAGGGCACACGACTTACAACTGACCTATAGGGCACACAACTTACAACTGACCTGAAGGGCATATGACTTAGAACTGACCTAAAGGGCATATGACTTACAACTGACCTTAAGGGTACATGACTTACAACTGACCTAAAGGGCACATGACTTACAACTGACCTAAAGGGCACACGACTTACAACTGACCTAAAGGGCACATGACTTACAACTGACCTAAAGGGCACATGACTTACAACTGACCTAAAGGGCACATGACTTATAACTGACCTAAATGGCACGTGACTTATAACCAGTGTTTCCTAAATGGCACGTGACTTATAAACGACTTAAATGACACATTATTAAAACTAACCAAAAGGGCATATGATTTATAACTAACCTAAAGGGCACGTGGGTTACAATGAGCCTAGGGGAGGGCCTACTGGTGAAGGAAGGCACAGGTTTAGCGTCTAAGAAACAAAGTTTCTCTTCCGTCTCTGTATCCATCGTCCCTGTTTTCTGCATGAGCATGGCCATAATTTCCATTTGCCAATGGAGACCTATATGGTACGAATAGAACATTGGTATATTAAGGTAAGTTTTACAGTGTAATCTTGGTATCTGTCTTCTAAACGCAGTTTTTTAGAGTCGATAGCCCGGTCTTGGGATATTAGACGCACCTGTCTTGGGGTATTACCCACCTGTCTTAGGATATTAGACTCACCTGTCTTGGGGTATGAACATATCATGACATCATCAGGACGTATCTCCATATCCGTGATATTACGTAGGTGTGTCCTGTAGTCAGTGTCGGCACCGAGAGGGAATGGTGGGTGCCAAAAGCCACCAGCATTGCCGAAATGAAAGGTGTTGCCGAACCTATGTGTTAGAAAATGAAAGGTGTTGCCGAACCTATGTGTTAGAAAATGAAAGGTGTTGCCGAACCTATGTGTTAGAAAATGAAAGGTGTTGCCAAAACCTGTTAGAAAATGAAAGGTGTTGCCGAACCTATGTGTTAGAAAATGAAAGGTGTTGCCAAAACCTATGTTAGAAAATGTAAGGTGTAGCCGAACCTATGTTAGAAAATGTAAGGTGTAGCCGAACCTATGCTAGAAAATGTAAGGTGTAGCCGAACCTATGCTAGAAAATGTAACGTGTAGCCGAACCTATGTTAGAAAATGTAAGGTGTAGCTGAACCTATGTTAGAAAATGTAATGTGTAGCTGAACCTATGTTAGAAAAGGAGGAAATAAGTATTGTGTTAATAGATTTTAGGCGTGGAATAAAGTTCTCTTGTGTTTGAAGGTCAAAGATGCAGCAGTTCTAATATAATTATTATCTTCATCATTTCATTATAATCTGATGAAAGGATTTTGAAGAAAATACTCTTCCTCATTTTAGTTTTATTTCAATTTATCATATTCGGTATAAAAAAATTAAGGGTTCATCAATTCATAGAATAAAAACAATTATGTAGGGATTGTCTTACTTTGCTGATCTCGCGAGATGCTCATTACTGACTCGACACGGAAATTTAATTCATCGAGATGTGGTTTTAAAATCTTGGTTCACCAAGATAGCTAACGTTTAATGACGCCATTCACTGATGACCCCTATTAGGGTCTGCTTTTAAGATGAGCTCTCGTTGACATGTAGTCAAACATGTGTTTAGATAGCTTCTTCAGTATGTTTTACACTCTGTCACAGATGAAAGTTTAGATAGCTTCTTCAGTATGTTTTACACCTGCATTACCTGTCTGTCACAGATGAGAGTTTAGATAGCTTCTTCAGTATGTTTTACACCTGCATTACCAGTCTGTCACAGATGAAAGTTTAGGTAATTTCTTGAGTATGTTTTACACCTGCATTACCTGTCTGTCACAGATGAAAGTTTAGATAGCTTCTTCAGTATGTTTTACACCTGCATTACCTGTCTGTCACAGATGAAAGTTTAGGTAATTTCTTCAGTATGTTTTACACCTGCATTACCTGTCTGTCACAGATGAAAGTTTAGATAGCTTCTTCAGTATGTTTTACACCTGCATTACCTGTCTGTCACAGATGAAAGTTTAGGTAATTTCTTCAGTATGTTTTACACCTGCATTACCTGTCTGTCACAGATGAAAGTTTAGGTAATTTCTTCAGTATGTTTTACACCTGCATTACCTGTCTGTCACAGATGAAAGTTTAGATAGCTTCTTCAGTATGTTTTACACCTGCATTACCTGTCTGTCACAGATGAAAGTTTAGGTAACTTCTTGAGTATGTTTTACACCTGCATTACCTGTCTGTCACAGACGAAAGTTTAGGTAACTTCTTCAGTATGTTTTACACCTGCATTACCTGTCGGTCACAGATGAAAGTTTAGGTAACTTCTTCAGTATGTTTTACATCTGCATTACCTGTCTGTAACAGATGAAAGTTTAGGTAACTTCTTCAGTATGTTTTACACCTGCATTACCTGACTGTCACAGATGAAAGTTTAGGTAACTTCTTCAGTATGTTTTACACCTGCATTACCTATCTGTCACAGATGAAAGTTTAGGTAACTTCTTGAGTATGTTTTACACCTGCATTACCTGTCTGTCACAGATGAAAGTTTAGGTAACTTCTTCAGTATGTTTTACACCTGCATTACCTGTCTGTCACAGATGAAAGTTTAGGTAACTTCTTGAGTATGTTTTACACCTGCATTACCTATCTGTCACAGATGAAGGTTTAGGTAACTTCTTGAGTATGTTTTACACCTGCATTACCTGTCTGTCACAGATGAAAGTTTAGGTAACTTCTTCAGTATGTTTTACACCTGCATTACCTGTCTGTCACAGATGAAAGTTTAGGTAACTTCTTCAGTATGTTTTACACCTGCATTACCTGACTGTCACAGATGAAAGTTTAGGTAACTTCTTCAGTATGTTTTACACCTGCATTACCAGTCTGTCACAGAAGAAAGTTTAGGTAACTTCTTCAGTATGTTTTACACTTGCATTACCTGTCTGTCACAGATGAAAGTTTAGGTAACTTCTTGAGTATGTTTTACACCTGCATTACCTGTCTGTCACAGATGAAAGTTTAGGTAACTTCTTGAGTATGTTTTACACCTGCATTACCTATCTGTCACAGATGAAAGTTTAGGTAACTTCTTGAGTATGTTTTACACCTGCATTACCGGTCTGTCACAGATGAAAGTTTAGGTAACTTCTTGAGTATGTTTTACACCTGCATTACCTGTCTGTCACAGATGAAAGTTTAGGTAACTTCTTCAGTATGTTTTACACCTGCATTACCTGTCTGTCACAGATGAAAGTTTAGGTAACTTCTTCAGTATGTTTTACACCTGCATTACCTGTCTGTCACAGATGAAAGTTTAGGTAACTTCTTGAGTATGTTTTACACCTGCATTACCTATCTGTCACAGATGAAAGTTTAGGTAACTTCTTCAGTATGTTTTACACCTGCATTACCTGTCTGTCATAGATGAAAGTTTAGGTAACTTCTTGAGTATGTTTTACACCTGCATTACCTGTCTGTCACAGATGAAAGTTTAGGTAACTTCTTGAGTATGCTGTCAGGTAAATTGTGGACAGTCCCACTGTCTGTCGACATCGTGCTGGTCTTATCTGACATATTACACATGGAGTTAATGAGACAATTATGTCAATAATTTACATGGTCGTTAATTAAAAGTATTTCAAGCATTCACAGCTATTGGTGTTAATTATAGATCAACATTATATCTAGCAGGCTAACTTTGTAGGCCGAAGTCAGCGTTTTAGTAATACGAGCCGGCCCGCGGCATAACATACGCCGCTATTTAGTTGTTTCTAATTTTCAATAATTCATAATTTGTGAATTCGACAGTACCAACGCTGACACTGAAAATATTTCTTTAAAACACTATAAGTAGCTCGTTAAGGACCATAACCCCCCCCCCCCTTCCTTCCCCTCCCCCCCCCTACGTTTAAAATCGTTGGCTCTGCTTGTAAACATTTAGAGTGAACACAGCTCACTAAAACCATGTAGGGGTAGGGAGGTAGGGAGAGCGTTTGCAGCTTGTTTTCTAACGGCTCGAAGAGGAGAATTATATATATAGATTGCTGCAGGAGAGAGGGGGAGAGTGGGGGTGGGCGATCCTCACTGTGTTTGTTCTGGTTACAGAAAGCATGATCATCTCTAGCAGACAACAGAAGCAATGTTTTATAGAGGTCATCTCTAGCAGACAACAGAAGCAATGTTTTATAAAGGTCATCTCTAGCAGACAACAGAAGCAATGTTTTATAAAGGTCATCTCTAGCAGACAACAGAAGCAATGTTTTATAAAGGTCATCTCTAGCAGACAACAGAAGCAATGTTTTATAAAGGTCATCTCTAGCAGACAACAGAAGCAATGTTTTATAGAGGTCATCTCTAGCAGACAACAGAAGCAATGTTTTATAAAGGTCATCTCTAGCAGACAACAGAAGCAATGTTTTATAAAGGTCATCTCTAGCAGACAACAGAAGCAATGTTTTATAAAGGTCATCTCTAGCAGACAACAGAAGCAATGTTTTATAAAGGTCATCTCTAGCAGACAACAGAAGCAATGTTTTATAAAGGTCATCTCTAGCAGACAACAGAAGTAATGTTTTATAGAGGTCATCTCTAGCAGACAACAGAAACAACGTTTTATAGAGGTCATCTCTAGCAGACAACAGAAGCAATGTTTTATAAAGGTCATCTCTAGCAGACAACAGAAGCAATGTTTTATAAAGGTCATCTCCAGTGTTTCTTCCAGACTTTTTTCTCCGGGGGGGGGGGGGCACTTGAAATCTTCGGGGGGGGGGGGGGGCGGTAAACTTTCTTCGGGGGGGGGGGGGGGGGCGGACACTGTTAAAAGTATATATTTTCTATATAAATTATATAAATTTCATTTCGTTCGGGGGGGGGGGGGGGGGGGGGCGGTAAAACATTTTCGGGGGGGGGGGGGGCTTTGACCCCCCGAAGAGATGCCTGGAAGAAACTCTGGTCATCTCTAGCAGACAACAGAAGCAATGTTTATAGAGGTCATCTCTAGCAGACAACAGAAGCAATGTTTTATAGAAAATAGCGGGAAAAAGACTTTTTAAAGACGTGTAATTAATCAATTAAAAACCCGTTGAAACAAGACAGCTTTAAAAAATAAAATAAAAAGCAGTCTATTTATGCAGCATGTTTTTTCTCACAAGCTAATTCACGTGCTTTTGTCTCCGTCCTATTGCGAACGAAATTTCACCCATTTCTTTCAAGCTGATTTATACATCTGATTTCTGTGTGAATTTTCAAGCTTTGCACCCATTCTATTATTCTTCAGAAAAATAGAAACGGTGTTTAAAATATAATGGTATAAAGGGGATCTACAAAAAAAAAACAAAAAAAAAAACGGCACGATTAACATATAGACATATTGGTGTCTAGGTGGCTATTTGGTTTACACAAAAAAAACAATTTTAATTAAAACTTACAAGTAAACGTGTCCAAAATAATTTAACTAAGTGTTAAGTATACCATGAAAAGAATTAGCTGGAAATTTTGTTAACAATTCTATAACACTAGGTCACTAAGGAAAGGTCATGACAAAAGTAGCTAGTGATATTGACATTATCAAGGAATGCAGTCTAAGATAAATAAAAATAAAACGTAAACCGTCCCAAGGAACGTGAATAATAATATTAAACATGGACGGCTAGCTCGTGCATACATGCCAACGCTACATGGTCTCGCATCAAACAGTAACTGTTCGATGTAGATTCTTCTACGTTGTCCAGAGTTTACTAGGCACACATTTTTTTTTCACGCGGCAGAGGCGTGGCGACCCCTCCCGGCGCCCTGGGCGAAATTTCAGTTTGGCGCCCCATATATATATATATATATATATATATATATATATATATATATATATATATATATATATATATATATATATATATATATATATATATATATATATATATATATGTGTGTGTGTGTGTGTGTGTATGTATGTGTGTGTGTGTTTGTGTGTGCGACAGTCTGGAAAAAAATAACAATTACGCTGATTGTCGTTCCTAAAATTTCACTGGACGCCAATTCAATTCCCGAAACAAAAAAAAAAAAAGAAAATCAAAAGAGCTTAGAACTGTGGGCTCCATCGAACCCGAGAGGTTCGGTAATTCAGTCTCAGGGCTTCCGCGGAGGTCAAGACACACACCCGACTCATAGGATTCACGATCGGATTTTGTCATTGGACGATACAACTATTAAGGACGGTTCGGTGATTGCGCATATGAAACTGGTTGGGTTCGATACTCCAAAACGTTAAGAACCACTGCTTTAGAGTGTATTTTGTAGAAGGTGCAAGCCTTATTTGGTCTACTTTTGGTCATGTCTTTAGAACAATTTCGATAATAGTAGGCCAATATTGCAATTTTGAATTATCAGTTAAGTTGAACAAAGTAATAATCAGTACAATATACTAATTTTCTTCTCTCTTAAAATTTTGGCAAATAGTGTCGCTTCCCATCCATCCGCTCCGACAGTCTGCTAACTCTTTTTTATGTTACACAATAGTAAAATACGCTTTAGTTCAATGGGTTTCTTTTCTGAGTGATATCGGTTTATTCCTTAATCCGGTGTGAATTTTTCTTATTTTAGTCTTCGAAAAAGCGTCCCCCCTTCCCATCTAGGAAAGCTGGAATCAAGGTAGAAAACAGTCAAATCAGTATGAATAGGCTCTCAGTCGTTAAATTTCTTTACGTTGACTGTTTATAATTCAAAACTGCAGCTTAAAATGAGCTTTTAATTATTTTTTTTTACCCCTTTTGGCGCCCCCCTAGGGTCGGCGCCCGGGGCGGCCGCCCTCCCCTAGCTACGCGCCTCTGCGCGGCAGTGCCCGGCAACTGCTTTATTTTCCCGATGTCAAGAATATATTTACACTCTTTATTTTCTCGATGTCAAAAACATTTACATATTAGGGAAAACACTTTACTTACATATTTAAGCATGATGCCAATCATATTTACATATTTTAGAATGAAGCAAACATCATCTATAATAATAGTTTCGCTGTCTGTCTATCTATCTATCTGACAAGAACGCTCTAGAGAAAACACAAGCAGATTAAAAACATGCATAGTATTTCGAAAAACGAAGTATGACGTCGACACATTTAGCACAGAGTAGAAAATAATCTCAAACCGGAGAGTAAACATTGAATAAAAAGGAAATTTTGTCTTATCTAAGTGGTTTGCGTGAAGAGTTTCTTTCATACAATTCTTCGGGTAGGGGCGAAGCCCCACCCCCGCGTAAGAACGTCTGAGCCCCCCCCCCCTCCCTAACTCAAAAGAAATTTCTTCATCGATACTCTATAATAAAATTACCGCCTTATTAATGTGTCTAATCTAAAAAGTAGTTTTCTTGCAATTTCTTTAATGCAATTCTTCGGGTAGTGGCTAAGCGCGACACCAGTGTTTCTTTCAGACTTTTTCCTCCCCGGAGAGGGGTGGGGGTACTTGAAATTTTCGGGGGCGGGGTAGAATTTTCTGGGAGGGGGCGGACACTGGAAAAAGTATATAATTATATTTCGTTGAATGGGACGGTAGACATGTTTTTTTTTTTGGGGGTGGGGGGTGGGGGGGGGGGGTGGGGCGGGGGTGGGGGCGGTGTGTGTGGGGGGGGGGGTGGTGTGTGTGGGGGGTGGGGGGTGGTGTGTGGGGGTGGGGGGGTGGGGGTGGTGGGGGTGGGGGGTGGTGTGTGGGGGGGTGGGTTGGTTTTAGTTTAGAGAAAAGAGACAGCACTTTCAGCCTAGCGCCCGTTGTACCCTTCCTCAACGGGCCATTTTTCTCGTATTACATAGTTTAGTAAAAGGCATACATTAAATTGACATTTTAGCAAGAGGCCAATAATATTTCTACATCATTTGGGCAGGAATTGAAATACTTGTTATATTTTAAACTGCCGACAAGATGTCTAATACATTTAATAAATAACAAATGTAACAACTTGTAAAGCTGTATTTAGATTTTATATTTGGTTACCACCACTCATGAACTCATGTCTAAAATTAATTTGTTTAGCATTCTCACTAAGAATCAAAGTGAATCAGTTTAAAAAACTCGGTGTAAAAGTTGAGAACTCTCTACACCGAATGAGACCTACTTACATGTTGGAGGCTATCAAAAACTCGGTGTAAAAGTTGAGAACTCTCTACACCGAATGAGACCTACTTACATGTTGGAGGCTATCAAAAACTCTGTGTAAAAGTTGAGAACTCTCTAGACCGAATGAGACCTACTTACATGTTGGAGGCTATCAAAAACTCTGTGTAAAAGTTGAGAACTCTCTACACCGAATGAGACCTACTTACATGTTGGAGGCTATAAAAAACTCGGTGTAAAAGTTGAGAACTCTCTACACCGAATGAGACCTACTTACATGTTGGAGGCTATCAAAAACTCGGTGTAAAAGTTGAGAACTCTCTAGACCGAATGAGACCTACTTACATGTTGGAGGCTATCAAAAACTCTGTGTAAAAGTTGAGAACTCTCTACACCGAATGAGACCTACTTACATGTTGGAGGCTATCACTCACTGGGCTCGTTATCTGCCCACAACTCCACATACCAGGTCACAGGAATAGCTCTGCCGGCGGGGTCGGCTGGTAATATGCCGTCATGTGATATGCCGTCATTTGATATGCCGTCATGTACATTTGATATGCCGTCATGTGATATGCCGTCATGTGATATGCCATCATGTGATATGCCATCATGTGATATGCCGTCATGTGATATGCCGTCATTTGATATGCCGTCATGTACATTTGATATGCCGTCGTGTAATATGCCGTCATTTGATATGCCGTCATGTGATATGCCGTCATGTGATATGCCATCATGTGATATGCCATCATGTGATATGCCGTCATGTGATATGCCGTCATGTGATATGCCGTCGTGTAATATGCCGTCATGTGATATGCCGTCATTTGATATGCCGTCATGTACATTTGATATGCCGTCATGTGATATGCCGTCATGTGATATGCCGTCATGTGATATGCCATCATGTGATATGCCGTCATGTGATATGCCGTCATTTGATATGCCGTCATGTACATTTGATATGCCGTCGTGTAATATGCCGTCATTTGATATGCCGTCATGTGATATGCCGTCATGTGATATGCCATCATGTGATATGCCATCATGTGATATGCCGTCATGTGATATGCCGTCATGTGATATGCCGTCGTGTAATATGCCGTCATGTGATATGCCGTCATTTGATATGCCGTCATGTACATTTGATATGCCGTCATGTGATATGCCGTCATGTGATATGCCGTCATGTGATATGCCATCATGTGATATGCCGTCATGTGATATGCCGTCATTTGATATGCCGTCATGTACATTTGATATGCCGTCGTGTAATATGCCGTCATTTGATATGCCGTCATGTGATATGCCGTCATGTGATATGCCGTCATGTGATATGCCATCATGTGATATGCCGTCATGTGATATGCCGTCATGTGATATGCCGTCATGTGATATGCCGTCATGTGATATGCCGTCATTTGATATGCCGTCATGTACATTTGATATGCCGTCATGTGATATGCCGTCATGTGATATGCCGTCATGTGATATGCCATCATGTGATATGCCGTCATGTGATATGCCGTCATTTGATATGCCGTCATGTACATTTGATATGCCGTCGTGTAATATGCCGTCATTTGATATGCCGTCATGTGATATGCCGTCATGTGATATGCCGTCATGTGATATGCCATCATGTGATATGCCGTCATGTGATATGCCGTCATGTGATATGCCGTCATGTGATATGCCGTCATGTGATATGCCGTCATTTGATATGCCGTCATGTGATATGCCGTCTTTTGATATGCCGTCATTTGATATGTCGTCATGTGATATGCCGTCGTGTAATATGCCGTCATTTGATATGCCGTCATGTGATATGCCGTCGTGTAATATGCCGTCATGTGATATGCCGTCATGTGATATGCCGTCATGTACATGTGATATGCCGTCATGTGATATGCCGTCATGTGATATGCCGTCATGTGATATGCCGTCACGTGATATGCCGCCAGGCTAAACAGACACGAAGACGGAATTCTAAAGAATAAAATTAAAAATTAAACAATCAAAGGAGGTAGATATGTTTAAACTTAGAAGTTTGCGCTTTGTCTAAATAAAAACAAGTTATTAAAAAGTCTAACGACAATTTAAGCGCAATTTCCTTATGTTATCCATAACAATTTTAAATCGAGATAAATCATAGCTCCTCCTCCTTCGCCTGCGTCTCGCGCAGTTCGCTGCTAAGCCAGCCAACACACATGATTTACCCTCCTTTGCTTTGCCTTCCACTGCCTTCTTTGCTATATAGTACTGTAATGTATTATGTATAATGTAATTTTTAAATAATGCGGACGTGTAGGGGGTGTATAGTTGTCGCGCTTTTAAAATTTTTTTTGTGACCGAACGAAAGGATATTTTTGAAAACTTTCTTCGGCAATATTGTTCTTAATTATGGCAGGAATTGATTGGTAAATGTTTCAAGTCGCTAAGTGGTCTGGTTGCCGAGATATGGGCCAAAAACTGCATTTTTTCGAGGTTTTTTGGCTTTTCCGGGAAATTCAGGAAGGAATTCCAGGAATGTTTTTGGCCTATGTTCTTCCTCGAAACTTGCTTAACATATTTGCTTTTGGAACTAGTCCTCGATATTGCTTCGTTGAGGAGGAGATACGACTTAAAGACGAATTAAAGCTGCGGACACACATCCATCCATACATTCCCAGAAATGACGAGTTAATAAACGCAATTCTCCAGAATGGAAATTGCGCTAAAAATGACTTAGTTAAAGACCTATATAGGCCCAGAAAAAAAAGATTATTAGTTTTTATTAATTAATCTTAACAACGGCGTAACAGTTCTAGTCCCCCCCTGCTATTATCCACCGGAAATATATTCCAATCCCTATCCTTATCTTATTTTTAACCTTTCAATTCCAGGATCACAACCTGTCATGTAATTTTGTGAGTAATTTTAAACTGTTCTTCATGTAGTCACATTGTAAAACCGGGGGGGGGGGGGGGGGGGGAATGTAGGACATTAGATATTATACGCCAATACAAATGTTAGGTTATTTAAAAATACCAACCGCTTATCAAAACATCCCATAACATACACGATTAAACGATCGTACCCACCATACGATTCATCTTTGTGACTCAATAATATGCTGTTCTTTTTCATGCATTGTCAAGATAAAATAAATGGTTATAACCCTTTTTACTTTCTCGTATATACGAAGTAGGCCTATAGAGAAAGTCTTGTAATCGTGCAAAAAAAAATTTGATATTTTTGCAAATCTCGACGTTTTACACCTCACTGATACGGAAAAGCATAATTTTGCAATCTTGTCTGTGTGTATGTCTGTGTGTGTGTCTGTGTGTGTGTCTGTAAACACATAACTTGAGTACCGTTACAGCTAGGTTGATGAAATTTCATATATAAGTATTTTATCAAAATCGTAGATCCGTATCAACTTTTGAGCGATTTCCGATAACCGGAAGTGGTACCTTTTTACTTTGAATTTTTCAAAAGCCTATAAATTGAGTACTATTTTAGATAGATAAATGAAATTTCACATGTAAGTAAAAGATCTAATTCTCTACCTTCTGTCAAATTTTGAGTAATTTCCGTTGACCGGAAGTACTAATTTACGCTATTTTTGATTTCTCAAAAAACTAATGTAAATTTCTAAAGTACTAATAATATTCCGCACTATTATGCACATTTTATTTGGCGTTCACTGGTGCGCAATTCTTTTTTCTACAAGTTTTTATTCTATTTTTAAAAAGTTTAAGTATTTAAAATGGATTAAAATTCATGTCTATATCCCGAGTTCCTATCCCCTGTTTTTTTATATAAGAATATTCGAGAAAGTTTAGGGGAGATCGTTCCCGGTTTATTAAAACAAATCTCATTACAGTTTCCTTAAGTTTAAAGACGGTGTAGCCATGTGGTATAATCTTCCCGTTATTTCTCATGTGTGAAACTAAAAGACGACCGCAGGTAGGCAGAAGATTTGAAGCGTAGCGAACACCTGAGTTCAGCCTGTGTCGCCTCACATTACCTGCGCCCCACGTATTTTGACCTTCGGAATTCATTTGTTTTCACCGCCGGCCTGGTTGGGTTGTCTGGGGGAGACAACTCGTTCAACACCCAGCCGTAAAGTGTTTTGTTTCAAACTGTGGAGACTGTGGCATGCACACAGACAGGTGACGTTTCTTATGAATTGTTGTTGACTTCTATTTTTCTGTCTGATAACTTCTAAACCTTGTATCATGTGTATGTTGTCTGGTAACTTCTAAACCTTATGTCATATGTATATTGTTTCTGGTAACTTCTAAATCTTATATAACATGTATGTTGTCTGGTAACTTCTAAACCTTATATAACATGTATGTTGTCTGGTAACTTCTAAACCTTATTTCACGTGTATATTGTCTGGTAACTTCTAAACCTTATATCATATGTATGTTGTCTGGTAACTTCTAAACCTTATATTACGTATATTGTCTGGTAACTTCTAAATCTCATATAACATGTATGTTGTCTGGTAACTTCTAAACCTTATATCATTTGTGTGTTGTCTGGTATCTTCTAAACCTTATGTCATATGTATATTGTTTCTGGTAACTTCTAAATCTTATATAACATGTATGTTGTCTGGTAACTTCTAAACCTTATATCATTTGTGTGTTGTCTGGTATCTTCTAAACCTTATTTCACGTGTATATTGTCTGGTAACTTCTAAACCTTATATCATATGTATGTTGTCTGGTATCTTCTAAACCTTATGTCATATGTATATTGTTTCTGGTAACTTCTAAATCTTATATAACATGTATGTTGTCTCAGAGGCGTAGCTAGGGGAGGGCGGGGAGGGCGGCCGCCCCGGGCGCCGACCCTAGGGGGGCGCCAAAAGGGGTAGAAAAAAATAATTAAAAGCTCATTTTAAGCTGCAGTTTTGAATTATAAACAGTCAAAGTAAAGAAATTTAACGGCTGAGAGACTTTGCATACTGATTTATCTGTTTTCTTCCTTGATTGTATAACTGTAAAACGTATATCTTTAAGAAACAGTGACCGGAAAAACCGCTTTCCAGCTTTCCTAGATGGGGAGGGGGGGCGCTTTTTCGAAGACTAAAATCGGAAAAATTCACAACGGATTAAGGCATAAATGATCGATATCACTAAGAAAAGAAACCCATTGAACTAAAGCGTATTTTACGATTGTGTAACATAAAAAAGAGTTAGTGACGTTTAAAATCCGCTCTACCATTTTTGTCCAAGATGGTGGGGCGCTTTTTCACTAACAAAAATCGCAGGATTTGTACTAGATCGGTTGCTAGATAACTCTTTTAAAACTTAGAAAAGAAATTAATTGTATTAACACTTAATGTACGATTTCACTACCCAGTTTTGCTAAGTAATAACGCGACTGGTTCTTAGTACGATTCTTACGATTCTCTCAACTTCATCGTGAGAGATCAGATACTTTTACTTGATTGCATTACATCTTAACTGGATCACTTCATTAAAGAGAAATAAATATCACGGATTCTTGCATCGCTATCCGTAAAATAGCAGACTGTCGGAGCGGGTGGTGGAAAGCGACACTCTTTGCCAAAGTTTTAAGAGAGAAGAAAATTAGTATATTGTACTGATTATTACTTTGTTCAACCTAACTGATAATTCAAAATTTCAATATTGGCCTACTATTATCGAAATTGTTCTAAAGACACGACCAAAAGTAGACCAAATACGGCTTGCACCTTCTACAAAATACACTCTAAAGCAGTGGTTCTTAACTTTTTGGAGTACCGAACCCCACCAGTTTCATATGCGCAATCACTGAACCCTTCTTAAACGTTGTATCGTCCACAATGACAAAATCCGATCGTGAATCCTATGAGTCGGGTGTGTGTCTTGACCTCCGCGGAAGCCCTGAGACTGAATTACCGAACCTCTCGGGTTCGATGAAGCCCACTTTTCTAAGCTCTTTTGATTTTTTACTTTTTATTCGTTTCGGCATCTTAAGGGGAATTTAATTGGCGTCCAGTGAAGTTTTAGGGAACGACAATCAGCGTAATTGTTAATTTTTTTCCAGACTGTCGCACACACATACACACTGTTATAACTGGGATTAGCATAGAATAGAAAACTAGGATAGAATATGGTTTAAATCTTAATAGTATTTATGGCCACACTACTATATTGTTTAATTGTAGATTAGATAGATCATAATAGCTGTAATAAGAATAACCCTTAGTGTATTTGATTGAACGTCCCCTTACTAGATACAAGTCAGAATAGCCTGTAGTTGTCCCAGTCGTAAAAAGTTCGAGTTAATGTATGCATAGGTCAAGCGCCCGCCCCTCGCGGGACTGCTGGGGTTAGGCAGGGTTTGGGTTACCTTAGGGTGAAGTTGGGGCCGTGCGAATGAATTAAGTTAGTTGAATGCTAGACTTGTTATCGTGTGGAAGTGTGTGTCTTGTGCTCCGTGGCAGAACTCTGTGCTAGTTTATTTCGTGTATTAAAAGTCTTAAAATCGTACGTGTGTTGGCGTTATTAAATCAAAGTTTAAACTGTTACCTCAACCCTCACTGCAGTCATCACCACCATCAAAACAAAGCACACAGATGACTACATAACACACACACGCGTATATATATATATATATATATATATATATATATATATATATATATATATATATATATATATATATATATATATATATATATATATGGGGGGGGGGGCGCCAAACTGAAAGTTCGCCCCGGGCGCCGGGAAGGGTCGCTACGCCTCTGTGTTGTCTGGTAACTTCTAAACCTTATATCCTGTGTATGTGATGACGTCTCTTGCCCAGCCATCTACTTTTGTTATGTGTATTGTTAAGTCGCTATTATCAACTGGAGTCAGCCCTTTCTTCTTGTATAAGCTATCCACAGAATACGCCGTAGAGCGCTACTTGATGCGGTTATTCACTTGTTACGCTACGGCGCTTATCTGTAACCTAGTTTTAATTATTTTTTTTACAATACGTTTTTTAAAGTTCATGGTAGAAATGTTGCTTCAGAAAAGTTTGTTCCGATCGTCGAATCCAAATAAAATGTATTATAGACTTTGCATTATTTATTGTATTAATAGTCAATAACCAAATACTATAGAGAATAAGGTTTAACTAACTAGGTCAGTGGCGTAGGCAGGGAGGGAGGGGTTAAAAATAATCTTTAAAGAACTCAAAAGGAAGTAGCTAATTCAAAATTGTAAGATCTAAGCTTAATGAACAATATTTTGGTTATATGTAATGTTCCACCTATTAACTTTAGTTTTACTATTAGATCGAAAAGCGATTTCAAAAACTTTCTTTATGCTCTAATATTTTAGCATTTATGATGAAAATGTATTTATTTATGAATGCAGACAACATAGCACTAGACTAGCAGCACCATTCACTAGCACTAGACTTGCAGCCCCATTCACTAGCACTAGACTAGCAGCACCATTCACTAGCACTAAACTAGCAGCACCATTCACTAGCACTAGACTAGCAGCACCATTCACTAGCACTAGACTAGCAGCCCAATTCACTAGCACTAGACTAGCTGCACCATTCACTAGCACTAGACTAGCAGCACCATTCACTAGCACTAGACTAGCAGCACCATTCACTAGCACTAGACTAGCAGCACCATTCACTAGAACTAGACTAGCAGCCCCATTCACTAGACTAGCAGCACCATTTACTAGCACTAGACTAGCAGCACCATTCACTAGCACTAGACTAGCAGCACCATTCACTAGCACTAGACTAGCAGCCCCATTCACTAGCACTAGACTAGCAGCACCATTCACTAGCACTAGACTAGCAGCACCATTCACTAGCACTAGACTAGCAGCACCATTCACTAGCACTAGACTAGCAGCACCATTCACTAGCACTAGACTAGCAGCACCATTCACTAGCACTAGACTAGCAGCACCATTCACTAGCACTAGACTAGCAGCACCATTCACTAGCACTAGACTAGCAGCACCATTCACTAGCACTAGTCTAGCAGCACCATTCACTAGCACTAGAGTAGCAGCACCATTCACTAGCACTAGACTGGCAGCACCATTCACTAGCACTAGACTAGCAGCACCATTCACTAGCACTAGACTAGCAGCACCATTCACTAGCACTAAACTAGCAGCAACATTCACTAGCACTAAACTAGCAGCAACATTCACTAGACTAGCAGCCCCATTCACTAGCACTAGACTAGCAGCCCCATTCACTAGCACTAGACTAGCAGCACCATTCACTAGCACTAGACTAGCAGCACCATTCAATAGCACTAGACTAGCAGCACCATTCACTAGCACTAAACTAGAAGCACCATTCACTAGCACTAAACTAGCAGCACCATTCACTAGCACTTGACTAGCAGCACCATTCACTAGCACTAGACTAGCAGCACCATTCACTAGCACTAGAGTAGCAGCACCATTCACTAGCACTAGACTGGCAGCACCATTCACTAGCACTAGACTAGCAGCACCATTCACTAGCACTAAACTAGCAGCACCATTCACGAGCACTAGACTAGCAGCCCCATTCACTAGCACTAGACTAGCAGCACCATTCACTAGCACTAGACTAGCAGCACCATTCACTAGCACTAGACTAGCAGCACCATTCACTAGCACTAGACTAGCAGCACCATTCACTAGACAAGCAGCACCATTCACTAGCACTAGACTAGCAGCACCATTCACTAGCACTAGTCTAGCAGCACCATTCACTAGCACTAGAGTAGCAGCACCATTCACTAGCACTAGACTAGCAGCCCCATTCACTAGCACTAGACTAGCAGCACCATTCACTAGCACTAAACTAGCAGCACCATTCACTAGCACTAGACTAGCAGCACCATTCACTAGCACTAGACTAGCAGCACCATTCACTAGCACTAGACTAGCAGCACCATTCACTAGCACTAGACTAGCAGCACCATTCACTAGCACTAAACTTGCCATGTTATTTACTTTTTCTAAATTAAAAAAAATCTGATCTGGAAACGAATGATTTCCAAATTAAATTTATAGAAAATAATATTTTGTGAAGCAAACAGTTTATAGAAAATAATATTTTGTGAAGCAAACAGTTTATAGAAAATAATATTTTGTGAAGCAAACAGTTTATAGAAAATAATATTTTGTGAAGCAAACAGTTTATAGAAAATAATATTTTGTGAAGTAAACAGTTTATAGAAAATAATATTTTGGGAAGCAAACAGTTTATAGAAAATAATATTTTGTGAAGCAAACAGTTTATAGAAAATAATATTTTGTGAAGCAAACAGTTTATAGAAAATAATATTTTGTGAAGCAAACAGTTTATAGAAAATAATATTTTGTGAAGCAAACAGTTTATAGAAAATAATATTTTGTGAAGCAAACAGTTTATAGAAAATAATATTTTGTGAAGCAAACAGTTTATAGAAAATAATATTTTGTGAAGCAAACAGTTTATAGAAAATAATATTTTGTGAAGCAAACAGTTTATAGAAAATAATATTTTGTGAAGCAAACAGTTTATAGAAAATAATATTTTGTGAAGCAAACAGTTTATAGAAAATAATATTTTGTGAAGCAAACAGTTTATAGAAAATAATATTTTGTGAAGCAAACAGTTTATAGAAAGAACGGGCCGACGAACGATTTTTCTTGACTGTATTTAGCATCACTGTAAAATGTAAACTTGTAGGGATGGGGTCAGTCAAGAGATTCATCTTTTGATGCAAGACTTTAATATGTAAACTGGTAGTGTAAACTTGTATAGTTTATTGTATCATGAAAGTTTCAACTCAAAATAATGTATGGTATTGAGTATTGATGATATGTTGTAATGAAGCTCCTTTCTCTTTGGATTCCCTTTAGACAGTGACTCAATTAACTACTGAAGTCATAAGGCGAGGTTTGAAAAATGGGGAAATCTAAACAAAGAACGACAACATCGGAAAAGTTTGATACAAGGGCTGGAAGTGTCTCTGAGGGCAGACACGGAGCAGAATTCTCACTTCTGCCATCTTGCCTTTCGCCGTCTGTTATCACCGCTCTAACCTTGACCTTTCGTGTGTATTACGTCATCCAGCCCCAAAACTGGTGGATGGTCCACCCGGATGAAGTATACCAATCGATAGAAGGTGAGTAACATACTTCATTTACATTATTATGTTGGGTTCATTCATTTTGCGACATACTTCATCTACATTATTATGTTGGGTTCATTCATTTTGCGACATACTTCATCTACATATGTTGGGTTCATTCATTTTGCGACATATTTCATCTACATATGTTGGGTTCATTCATTTTGCGACATACATCATCTACATTATTATGTTGGGTTCATTCATTTTGCGACATACTTCGTCTAAATGTTTTGGGTTCATTCGTTTTGCGACATATTTCATCTAAATGTTTTGGGCTCATTCGTTTTGCGACATATTTAATCTAAATGTTTAGGGTTCATTCGTTTTGCGAATACCCAAGGTCGTAATAGTATAGTTTCAATGTCACGGTAAAGTTTCAATGACACGGTAAGGTTTCAATACCCCGATAAAGTATCAATACCACGGTAAAGTCTCAATACCACGGTAAAGTTCCAATACCCCGGTAAAGTCTCAATGCCAACGTCAAGTCTCAATACCCCGGTAAAGTCTTAATGCCAAAATAAAGAATTCAACGTTGGAGAATTCGTGTCGTCATATAGATCTAATTATTTCAACAAGGTCACGTGTGTATCTATAAATACACACACGTTATATTGCTATTGACATACACATCGTGCTATTGACGTACACACACGCCGTGCTATTGACATACACACACACCGTGCTATTGACGTACACACACACACACCGTGCTATAGACGTACACACACACACCGTGATATTGACGTACACACACACACCGTGCTATTGACGTACACACACACACACACCGTGCTATTGACGTACACACACACACACCGTGCTATTGACGTACACACACACCGTGCTATTGACGTACACACACACACACACCGTGCTATTGACGTACACACACACACACCGTGCTATTGACGTACACACACACACCGTGCTATTGACGTACACACACACACCGTGCTATTGATGTACACACACATACTGTGCTATTGACGTACACACACACACCGTGCTATTGACGTACACACACCGTGCTATTGACGTACACACACACACTGTGCTATTGACGTACACACACACCGTGCTATTGACGTGCACACATACACACCGTGCTATTGACGTACACACACACACACCGTGCTATTGACGTACACACACACACACCGTGCTATTGACGTACACACACACACACACCGTGCTATTGACGTACACACACACACACCGTGCTATTGACGTACACACACACACCGTGCTATTGACAAACACACACACCGTGCTATTGACAAACACACACACACACCGTGCTATTGACCTACACACATACCGTGCTATTGACATAAACACATACACATCGCGCTATTGACGTACACACATACACGCCGTGCAATTGACGTACACACACACCGTGCTGTTGACGAACACACACACTGTGCTATTGACGAACACACACACACGCCGTGCAATTGACGTACACACATACACATCGTGCTATTTACGTACACACACACACTGTGCTATTGACGTACACACACACACACTGTGCTATTGACGTGTTTCCTTTAGTTAATGTCTTTTGGTTTTATTGTTAATCTCGTATTGATTTGTGTGACTTACATTCAGCCGACTATTGCCTTTCGATACTGATCTATTGATTTGAGCCAGTTTAGAAAAAAATACACTTTGTATTACTAGCGAAGACACATTCCCTGGTTATAATGCACATGTCTATAGGTTGAGAGGACTGAATGTGGGCTGTCAAGCTAAAAAAAAAAAAAATAACCAATTAAGATTAAGCCGCGTAGTTTTATTAAAGGGTTGAGTTTGTTAATAGATCTATAAATCTAATACTTTCCATAAAGTTCACACTTTTCTCAATTCTAAAGCATAAAAACCTAACCAGAGTTTTATGGGGGAAAAAAAATTGTTCATCTAAGGCAGCTGCGGCTTTGTTGCCGAACAGCCGTGAGTTTGGTTCTAAGAACAGCCGTGAGTTTGGTTCTAAGAACAGCCGTGAGTTTGGTTCTAAGAACAGCCGTGAGTTTGGTTCTAAGAACAGCCGTGAGTTTTGTTCTAAGAACAGCCGTGAGTTTGGTCCCAAAACTTTTCAGACTGCTTTATATTATTGTTAGTGGCCATTTTGTGGAGACATTTTGTCTTCAGTATCGTGTAATCTCTGATTCGATGTGACGCGTGTATCATTAAGTTCGACACTGATTTATTTCTTCTTTAGTTATCACATGTCTCGTTAGCCTCTAGTTATCACATGTCTCGTTATCCTCTAGTTGTCACATGTCTCGTTATCCTCTAGTTGTCACATGTCTCGTTATCCTCTAGTTATCACATGTCTCGTTATCCTCTACTTATCACATGTATCGTTATCCTCTACTTATCACATGTCTTGTTATCCTCTAGTTATCACATGTCTTGTTATCCTCTAGTTATCACATGTCTCGTTATCCTCTACTTATCACATGTCTCGTTATCCTCTACTTATCACATGTCTCGTTATCCTCTAGTTATCACATGTCTGTGCACTTGCTATATGATCCTGTGTGTATGAACGTGTAGAACTATCTCCTCCTTCCTCCACTAGTTGCCCACATTGAGAGCTATGGCTACGGGTTTCGAACCTACGAGTTCTCACCGCCCCAGCTAGCGAACAACGTCACCAAATATCGTCAAATGGAACTTCAAGAGGACATGTACGGACTTCGGTCTCCGATTTTTCCTTACTTTTACGTCATAGCTGAATGGCTTATTTCAAAATGTATTGTAGCCAGTCCTTATCTGGTAGGTCATTTTTGTGTGCACGCATATATATATATATATATATATATATATATATATATATATATATATATATATATATATATATATATATATATATATATATATAATGTATAAATTACGTTATCCTAATATATAAAAGGCTGTGTGCGCTCTTCTCTCTCTCTGTCCGCAAAATATTTTCGCCGGACATCACGTCAGAAACGGCAGCGATATATGGAGAACTTTATACGGACTTTTGTTGAAAATAATATGTTAGATGTTTTAAATGTATAACCACAATTTTATTTAAAGAAGAAAAATAAAAAATAAAGGCGTATTCGAATGTAGAGAAACAGTATTATTTATGCAACCGGAAAAGCATTAATGGATGTGAAAAAGAACGCATAAAACTGTGACGTCACTATTGCTTATACATTAACTAATGACGTCATCTGCCGTGTTTAGAATAAAAAGAAATGAACTATTTCATTCAAATTTGATTTAGATCTACGTACACTATGAAATGTATACAATACAATTTTTCCGGCCTAAACTCATAAAATTTATTTTATGTGTTTGGATTCTAGATCTAGAGATTCTAGATCTAGACTAAATCTAAATCTACGCAATAACTAGATCTAGCTAGACGTAGACGCTAAGATCTAGATTTAGACTCTAATTTCTCTAAAATCAATTCCAAAAATAAATTTCTATATTAGGACTAAACTATTTCAAGACTTATTTATTTTATACAAAATCTTTGTTTGGAACTGGCTAATTTGGGATAAAAAAATTAATTTGAAAGAATAGACATATTCGCGTAAGTTAAGATTTTAAAATACGTGTTTCATTCTCCGTATATTATAAGGTGCCTAAATAGCGGAGATGTTAGTGTACATTAAACCACGCAGGTGGTGCGGGTTCGAGACACACCAAGTCAACTTGGTTAATATATTTTTTTTAATTATGCTCGGGCTAAACTTAAAAAAAAAATTCTTTTAGGAATCTAGATCTAGATCTAGATTGTCGGGTGTCCGATAGGGCACTTCCCGGCGCCGCAGGCGCTTCAAATTTGGCAGGACCTTGCCTTGGGGCGACAGAACACGGGGGCCGGTTGGCCGAAAAGTCTACGATGAGGGGGTCAAAACTGACCTCGACTGACCGGTACCTTATATGAGCTATAAATTTTTTAAAAATGTCCACGGAGGAACCTCTTCATAACTCTTGAAGTCGTAGACCGACCCTCGGGCGAATTAATTAAGCATTCAAATTCTCAATGTTTTCGAAAGCCTAAGCGAAGCTGGGCAGCATGCCTAGTATCAGGGGCGTAGCGAGGGGGGGGGGCGGGGGGTGCGGACCGCACCGGGTGACACCATTTAGGGGGGTGACACCAAGGCAAAAAATAGCAAAACATATAGAGAAAAACTCGAGGGGGGGGGGGGGTGCAAATCGAAAGTTTGAGGGGGGGGGGTGCAAATCGAAAACTCGAGGAGGGGGTGCAAATCGAAAGTTTGAAAGTTTGTCCCTGGGAAGGGTCTCTATGCCTCTGGGGGGGGGGGTGACACCATTAAGTGCCGCACCGGGTGACACCCGACCTCGCTACGCCACTGCCTAATATTATATAGTATATAATAACGTCACCTCTTTTATTAAAATGTCTGTCATCTTCCCCAGCTGTGGCGAGTGTGTCACGTGTGTGTGACCTCCATGTTGCCTCTAGCTGTGGCCAGGTACGCCACAAGTCTCACGACTTGGCCTGACGTCCCTGTCCTATCTGCTCTGTTAGTGGCCGTCTCTGTACACCTCAACGTGTTCGGTACACATTGTCTGCTACATTCTTTCCTGGCGCCTTTTACCTTCCTAGGCTTGTCCTTGCTCATGGCCACTTCACACGAGGCAACTGACCGTCAACACCCCGGGGGTGAGCCCGGGGGTAACGGGACCAAGGACGTGGATCTAAAGCTGGTCACAAACAGGGGCGCTTACAAGCATTTTGTGTCAAGGTTTTCGATTGGCTGCCTGATAGGTATCACGTGCTACGTGCGCCCTGACACCGTGTCTGTGTACGGCTTGCACGTGGTCCTGTGCTCCACCGTCCGACGCTTGCTGCAGACGGCCGGCTGGGTCCCCGTCTGTGTCGGCGTCCTCTTTTCAGCGTCGCTCGGGGCTCTTGTGGACTTTGGTTATTACGGCTGGGGAGTGATTAGCCCAATCAACTGGTTCAGGTTTAATGTCGTCAAAGATCTATCAACAAAAATCTTTGGAAAGATGAGCAGCTTTATGTACTTCACTGATGTTTTCTTAAATGACCCAGGCATAGCTTTATTATCAGCCATCGTCGCCATTGTCCAGATATGTTTGTATCTGCGTCAAGAAGACAAGCCAGGAGAAACAAAAGTTTTCAAAAAACTAGGATCTAACTTTCATTCTAACGAAAAGAATTCCACTTGTTTAACTTTAGGCCTAACTAGTACACTTTTCATCATGTATTCGTTGAAAGGACACAAGGAAGTCCGTTTTGTTCACGACGCCATTGTGTTGTTTTACATCCATGCTGCACTAGTGTTGGTCGCCCTGAGATCGACCTTCAGTTCCTGGACATCTAGTCACGTGATACGCGCCATTCTGGCCGTGTTTGTTCTCATCCAATGGCAAGTGTTCCCCAGTGCCGTCAACAACAAACGGTGGGTGTACCTGGGTGCCGAAGGTGTGCATGACGTTAATGCTTGTATAGAATTTATTTCAAGGCAAACTGACGTCAAAGGTGTTTTCTACGACAGTAACATATTTATGACTGGAGGCATGACGTTGCTGCATCATGACGTCACTATCCTCACACTTGTAACCGGAGGCTTCTACGAGTTCGGGCCGACGTCACGAGTGAACGTCACAACAAGATCGGTGAACGAAATGACGCAAGCTTCCAACTACGTAGCTCTGTCTAACGCCCCCGCCGTAGCCAGGGTAATCATTGAGAACAGCAACTACAACTACTTGGTGCTGAGGGGGGACAGGCAGTTCCTGGGGGCGGGCTTTCATCAGGTCTTCACTGCTGGCACCAGACGTGTACTGAAGAGATCGTCTGGTGCAGAGTCTCAGCTTCAGGAAATGTTGGGCAGGCAAGTAGGCTACAAAAGCCTTAGAAACCATAACAAGTAATATAAAATGTTGGGCAGGCAAGTAGGCTACAAAAGCCTTAGAAACCATAACAAGTAATATAAAATGTTGGGCAGGCAAGTAGGCTACACCAGCCTTAGAAACCATAACAAGTAATATAAAATGTTGGGCAGGCAAGTAGGCTACAAAAGCCTTAGAAACCATAAAAAGTAATATAAAATGTTGAGCAGGCAAGTAGGCTACACCAGCCACAGAACCATAACAGGTAATTTCGTCTGTCTACTTGGAATTCACCCACATAGTACATACGGTATAAAGTAGCCTTTTGGTTCTTATTTCAACGAACATATCCTCATAACGGTGTGTTTTTCAACAAGTATGTAACATTAATATACAAGAAGTTTCATACAACACGTTTTATACAGCACGTTTCATACATGTTTTATACAGCACGTTTCATATAACAAGGTTCATAGAACACGTTTCATACAACATTTTTCATACAACATGTTTCATACAACACGTTTCAGACAGCACGGTTATTACAACAGGTTTCAAACAGCACTACTGTTCTCACCACATTAACTGACTGTTGCCTTGATCCCACTCGGTACCAACACGACTGTTCTCACCACATTAACTGACTGTTGCCTTGATCCCCCAGGATCCCACTTGGTACCAACACGACTGTTCTCACCACATTAACTGACTGTTGCCTTGATCCCCCAGGATCCCACTTGGTACCAACACGACTATTCTCACCACATTAACTGACTGTTGCCTTGATCCCCCAGGATCCCACTTGGTACCAACACGACTGTTCTCACCACATTAACTGACTGTTGCCTTGATCCCCCAGGATCCCACTTGGTACCAACACGACTGTTCTCACCACATTAACTGACTGTTGCCTTGATCCCCCAGGATCCCACTTGGTACCAACACCACTGTTCTCACCACATTAACTGACTGTTGCCTTGATCCCACTTGGTACCAACACGACTGTTCTCACCACATTAACTGACTGTTGCCTTGATCCCACTTGGTACCAACACGACTGTTCTCACCACATTAACTGACTGTTGCCTTGATCCCACTTGGTACCAACACGACTGTTCTCACCACATTAACTGACTGTTGCCTTGATCCCACTTGGTACCAACACGACTGTTCTCACCACATTAACTGACTGTTGCCTTGATCCCCCAGGATCCCACTTGGTACCAACACGACTGTTCTCACCACATTAACTGACTGTTGCCTTGATCCCCCAGGATCCCACTTGGTACCAACACCACTGTTCTCACCACATTAACTGACTGTTGCCTTGATCCCACTTGGTACCAACACGACTGTTCTCACCACATTAACTGACTGTTGCCTTGATCCCACTTGGTACCAACACGACTGTTCTCACCACATTAACTGACTGTTGCCTTGATCCCACTTGGTACCAACACGACTGTTCTCACCACATTAACTGACTGTTGCCTTGATCCCACTTGGTACCAACACGACTGTTCTCACCACATTAACTGACTGTTGCCTTGATCCCACTTGGTACCAACACGACTGTTCTCACCACATTAACTGACTGTTGCCTTGATCCCCCAGGATCCCACTTGGTACCAACAAGACTGTTCTCACCACATTAACTGACTGTTGCCTTGATCCCACTTGGTACCAACACGACTGTTCTCACCACATTAACTGACTGTTGCCTTGATCCCACTTGGTACCAACACGACTGTTCTCACCACATTAACTGACTGTTGCCTTGATCCCACTTGGTACCAACACCACTGTTCTCACCACATTAACTGGCTGTTGCCTTGATCCCCCAGGATCCCACTTTATACCAACACTACTGTTCTCACCACATTAACTGACTGTTGCCTTGATCCCCCAGGATCCCACTTGGTACCAACACGACTGTTCTCACCACATTAACTGACTGTTGCCTTGATCCCCCAGGATCCCACTTGGTACCAACACGACTGTTCTCACCACATTAACTGACTGTTGCCTTGATCCCCCAGGATCCCACTTGGTACCAACACCACTGTTCTCACCACATTAACTGACTGTTGCCTTGATCCCACTTGGTACCAACACGACTGTTCTCACCACATTAACTGACTGTTGCCTTGATCCCACTTGGTACCAACACGACTGTTCTCACCACATTAACTGACTGTTGCCTTGATCCCACTTGGTACCAACACGACTGTTCTCACCACATTAACTGACTGTTGCCTTGATCCCACTTGGTACCAACACGACTGTTCTCACCACATTAACTGACTGTTGCCTTGATCCCACTTGGTACCAACACGACTGTTCTCACCACATTAACTGACTGTTGCCTTGATCCCCCAGGATCCCACTTGGTACCAACACGACTGTTCTCACCACATTAACTGACTGTTGCCTTGATCCCACTTGGTACCAACACGACTGTTCTCACCACATTAACTGACTGTTGCCTTGATCCCACTTGGTACCAACACGACTGTTCTCACCACATTAACTGACTGTTGCCTTGATCCCACTTGGTACCAACACCACTGTTCTCACCACATTAACTGGCTGTTGCCTTGATCCCCCAGGATCCCACTTTATACCAACACTACTGTTCTCACCACATTAACTGACTGTTGCCTTGATCCCCCAGGATCCCACTTGGTACCAACACGACTGTTCTCACCACATTAACTGACTGTTGCCTTGATCCCACTTGGTACCAACACGACTGTTCTCACCACATTAACTGACTGTTGCCTTGATCCCACTTGGTACCAACACGACTGTTCTCACCACATTAACTGGCTGTTGCCTTGATCCCCCAGGATCCCACTTTATACCAACACTACTGTTCTCACCACATTAACTGACTGTTGCCTTGATCCCCCAGGATCCCACTTGGTACCAACACGACTGTCCTCACCACATTAACTGACTGTTGCCTTGATCCCCCAGGATCCCACTTGGTACCAACACGACTGTTCTCACCACATTAACTGACTGTTGCCTTGATCCCACTTGGTACCAACACGACTGTTCTCACCACATTAACTGACTGTTGCCTTGATCCCCCAGGATCCCACTTGGTACCAACACGACTGTTCTCACCACATTAACTGACTGTTGCCTTGATCCCCCAGGATCCCACTTGGTACCAACACGACTGTTCTCACCACATTAACTGACTGTTGCCTTGATCCCACTTGGTAGCAACACGACTGTTCTCACCACATTAACTGACTGCTGCCTTGATCCCCCAGGATCCCACTTGGTACCAACACGACTGTTCTCACCACATTAACTGACTGTTGCCTTGATCCCACTTGGTACCAACACGACTGTTCTCACCACATTAACTGACTGTTGCCTTGATCCCACTTGGTACCAACACGACTGTTCTCACCACATTAACTGACTGTTGCCTTGATCCCACTTGGTACCAACACGACTGTTCTCACCACATTAACTGACTGTTGCCTTGATCCCACTTGGTACCAACACGACTGTTCTCACCACATTAACTGACTGTTGCCTTGATCCCCCAGGATCCCACTTGGTACCAACACGACTGTTCTCACCACATTAACTGACTGTTGCCTTGATCCCACTTGGTACCAACACGACTGTTCTCACCACATTAACTGACTGTTGCCTTGATCCCACTTGGTACCAACACGACTGTTCTCACCACATTAACTGACTGTTGCCTTGATCCCACTTGGTACCAACACCACTGTTCTCACCACATTAACTGGCTGTTGCCTTGATCCCCCAGGATCCCACTTTATACCAACACTACTGTTCTCACCACATTAACTGACTGTTGCCTTGATCCCCCAGGATCCCACTTGGTACCAACACGACTGTTCTCACCACATTAACTGACTGTTGCCTTGATCCCCCAGGATCCCACTTGGTACCAACACGACTGTTCTCACCACATTAACTGACTGTTGCCTTGATCCCACTTGGTACCAACACGACTGTTCTCACCACATTAACTGACTGTTGCCTTGATCCCACTTGGTACCAACACGACTGTTCTCACCACATTAACTGACTGTTGCCTTGATCCCACTTGGTACCAACACGACTGTTCTCACCACATTAACTGACTGTTGCCTTGATCCCACTTGGTACCAACACGACTGTTCTCACCACATTAACTGACTGTTGCCTTGATCCCACTTGGTACCAACACGACTGTTCTCACCACATTAACTGACTGTTGCCTTGATCCCCCAGGATCCCACTTGGTACCAACACGACTGTTCTCACCACATTAACTGACTGTTGCCTTGATCCCACTTGGTACCAACACGACTGTTCTCACCACATTAACTGACTGTTGCCTTGATCCCACTTGGTACCAACACGACTGTTCTCACCACATTAACTGACTGTTGCCTTGATCCCACTTGGTACCAACACCACTGTTCTCACCACATTAACTGGCTGTTGCCTTGATCCCCCAGGATCCCACTTTATACCAACACTACTGTTCTCACCACATTAACTGACTGTTGCCTTGATCCCCCAGGATCCCACTTGGTACCAACACGACTGTTCTCACCACATTAACTGACTGTTGCCTTGATCCCACTTGGTACCAACACGACTGTTCTCACCACATTAACTGACTGTTGCCTTGATCCCACTTGGTACCAACACGACTGTTCTCACCACATTAACTGGCTGTTGCCTTGATCCCCCAGGATCCCACTTTATACCAACACTACTGTTCTCACCACATTAACTGACTGTTGCCTTGATCCCCCAGGATCCCACTTGGTACCAACACGACTGTCCTCACCACATTAACTGACTGTTGCCTTGATCCCCCAGGATCCCACTTGGTACCAACACGACTGTTCTCACCACATTAACTGACTGTTGCCTTGATCCCACTTGGTACCAACACGACTGTTCTCACCACATTAACTGACTGTTGCCTTGATCCCCCAGGATCCCACTTGGT